ACTCTTTCCGGTGCTATTTGCTAAGTACCACTCGGCTTTGCAGCTCCAGAACTAGATGTCGTCATGAAAGATTCACCACATCCACACTGCCCTTTTGAGTTTGGATTGATGAACACAAACTCCGACCTGCCACCAACCAAAACCCAAAATTTCCTCAGGGCTTCAGATTCAAGATTGATGAGACAGCCCATACAGCAGAGATAGGTCCCGACCTGAGTTTATCATCCACGAAATCCATCTTGGTCCCGATGACATGCATCAGAGCCTTTGGCTCAACAAGTATCCTCACACCTTTTTCCTCCACCAGCTCGTCAAACTTCCCCTTCTCATCTATACAAACATTTTTGTTTAGAACAAATAATATCAGACCACTTATCAAACAGCCTATAGGACAGCCACCAAGTGCGAAACACAAATGTTTTGATGACGTGTGGCCGGAATAGAGATCATTCATGTCATATGATGGTGATCAGATGGATATCAACATATGGCTCGACCGAAATCAACACTACCGTAGCTAGAACTTCACGTACACTGTTTTGTTGCCTAGTCCGACTGTTTTTCCGTTTAATCCTCCGAATGTAAAGGAAAACGAACATAATCATGGACTAAAACTGGACAACGCCATCATTCATGATTGGAAATTCCCAGTCATGAAGTTACGATTGGGGAACACGAAATGCCGGGAAGTATGAAATCTGTAGGGGTATACCCAGACACCTTTAAGGACAACTATCTGCGAAACTAATGTCCCTGAATGAACCCGCAGGATAGTTAACAGTTGGTGCATAACAATGCAGATATGCTTTCTAAATAAAACATGTAAAGGACAAACTCGTCGCTATTGAATGAATACACATACATCACTTTCACACAAACACAACCGCAAATTCCTCCACCAACAACAAAATCTCCAAACCAGAATCAATAAGCTAAGAACAGCTTTTCAATTCTCATCTCACAATCACTGAAACAAAAATAAATTTCTCGCGTAAGCATTCAGATGAATACCGAAATCAGTTCCGTAAATCAAAATTGAAACTTAGTAATACGAACATCTACCCAAAATCAGACACATGAGGGGAAAAAACCTAAAATCCCCCCCCCCCCCGGGATACAAAATAATTTGAGCTCGAGGAAATTACCGGCATAATTGAGGGTATAAGACAAGCCGTTGCAGCCACGAGCCTTGACGCCCAACCGGAGGAAGGGTTTCTGCCGCTGCTGCAACAGATGCCGAACCCTAGACGCCGCCTCCTCCGTCAATGTTAAGACCTGTTTCCTCATCGCCGATCCGGTCTTCACGGCGGACGCCGCCGCCGCCAAAAATCGAGAAGCCCTCATCGATCAAAAACCTTCACAAATCGGAGTTTCGGACATTTCCGAGGAAAGAAAAATAATACAGAAATCGAGAAATGACTGACAACGTTTTCAAGTTCATTTCTTTACTACTAAATTATCAGATCTAAAGCCCCAATTTGTCCCATCGGCTCTTGTTATTGGGCTTTGTAATGGGCCTAGGCTTACATATCTTAAGCCCATGTTTCTCCCCAGCGTGACAAAAGAAACGATGTCGTTTTTATTGACTTATGAAACGACGGCATTTTGGTAGCCCATTGGAAACTCCGACCGTACAATAAAAGGTGGTGGGACCCTTCTCGAGAAGAAAGGCTGACTCATTACATCTGTGCCACGACAGAATGATATCCACAAACACCTGTCCCCTCACTTATTAATCGAATTAATTCACGATTAGTGCCTTTTAATTTGAATTTTGGTTTTTAAAAATATATTATATTATAAAGCCTTTCTTCCCTCATGTTTACCAAAAAAGACTAAATAACAATATTAGTCTTAGTAGTGACTAAATAACGCACACATAACTGCTTCAAAATTTTAAATTGCAGTAATTCTCTCAAGGAAAATGATAAATCATATTTTTTGTGATTAATAAATAAATTAGTGCGAGAAAACAATTAAAATCTCACTAATTCATTTATTAATCACAAAAACAGTGTGATTATCTTTTTCCTTTAAATGAGAGCATCAATGTCGGTAACGAACCGCCCACTCACTCGCTTCACTCAATCCGCCTTCTTCAATGGCCCTTTTCCTCTCGTCCTCCATTACTGTTCTCCTCCTCCTCTTCCTTCTCTCTTCTCTGTTCACTCCCTCCGCCGCCGGCGCTGATCCAACGGCCAAGACTTTCATCTTCCGCGTCGACGGCGGATCCAAGCCGTCCGTTTTCCCCACACACTTCCAATGGTACAATTCCGAGTTCGCCGAGGCTCCTCGTATCCTCCATGTTTACGACATCGTCTTCCATGGCTTCTCTGCCATGGTTACTCCCAAAGAGGCCCAGATCCTCCGCAACCACCCGGCCGTCCTCGCTGTCTTTGAAGACCGCCGCCGTGAGCTTCACACGACCCGGTCCCCACAGTTTCTAGGACTACGAAACCAGCGGGGTCTCTGGTCCGAGTCTGATTATGGATCTGATGTTATCATCGGTTTCTTTGACACCGGAATTTGGCCGGAGCGCCGGAGCTTCTCCGATCTCAACTTGGGACCTGTCCCGAAGCGGTGGAGAGGCGTTTGCCAAAGCGGGAACAAGTTCGGACCGAAGAACTGTAATCGGAAAATCGTCGGGGCGAGATTCTTCGCCAAGGGACAGCAAGCCGCCGTGATCGGCGGAATCAACGAGACGGTGGAGTTTCTCTCCACTCGCGACGCTGACGGACATGGGACCCATACTGCCTCGACCGCCGCCGGTCGTCACTCCTTTAGGGCTAGCATGTCTGGTTATGCTTCTGGCGTGGCGAAAGGCGTGGCTCCGAAGGCTCGCATCGCCGCCTACAAGGTCTGTTGGAAGGACTCCGGCTGTCTCGATTCCGACATCCTCGCCGCCTTCGACGCCGCAGTGTCCGACGGCGTTGACGTCATCTCCATCTCCATTGGCGGCGGAGACGGGATCTCCTCGCCGTATTACCTCGACCCAATCGCCATCGGCTCGTTCGCCGCCTAAAGGAAAACGAACGACGGACCCAACGGTATGTCAGTGACTAACCTCTCGCCGTGGGTCACCACAGTCGGCGCGGGAACGATCGACCGGAACTTCCCCGCTGACGTAATCCTGGGAGACGGCCGCCGTCTCAGCGGCGTCTCTCTCTACTCTGGCGAGCCACTGAACGGAAAGATGTTTCCGGTGGTTTACCCGGGGAAGACGGGGATGTTGTCGCCTTCCCTGTGCATGGAGAACTCGCTCGACCCGAGGCATGTGAGAGGCAAAATCGTGATTTGCGACAGAGGGAGCAACCCTCGTGTGGCAAAGGGGCTCGTGGTGAAGAAAGCCGGCGGAGTTGGAATGATCCTCTCCAATGGCGTCTCCAATGGCGAAGGCTTGGTCGGGGACGCTCACCTTATCCCCGCATGCGCTGTCGGATCGAGCGAGGGAGACAAGATCAAAGCCTACGTTTCCACCCATCCGAATCCTGTGGCCACAATCGATTTCAGAGGGACTGTGATGGGAATCAAACCGGCTCCGGTGGTGGCTTCGTTCTCTGGCAGAGGACCGAACGGATTAAACCCAGAGATTTTGAAACCCGACCTGATTTCTCCGGGGGTTAACATCCTCGCCGCTTGGACCGAGGCCGTGGGTCCGACAGGGTTAAGCTCCGATCCTCGGAAAACAGAGTTCAACATCTTGTCGGGTACATCCATGGCGTGTCCTCACGTGAGCGGAGCCGCGGCGCTGCTCAAATCAGCCCACCCAGACTGGAGCCCCGCCGCCGTGAGGTCCGCCATGATGACGACGGCGAGCCTCGTCGACCACAACGAGTCCACCGGAAAACAATCCACGCCCTACGATTTCGGGTCGGATCATCTCAACCTCGGTCGGGCGTTGGACCCGGGTCTCATCTACGACATAACCAACGACGACTACATCACATTTCTCTGCGCCATAGGCTACGGACCAAACACAATTCAGGTAATAACACGGAAGCCGGCGAGATGTCCGAAGCGGAAACCTTCGGCAGAGAATCTGAATTACCCGTCGATCACAGCTTTATTCCCTGTCTCAAGAAAAGGGTCATTGAGTAAGACTATTGTCCGAACAGTGATGAACGTGGGCCAAGCAGAGGCTGTGTACCGAGTTAGGGTCGAGCCACCGAGGGGCGTGACCGTGACCGTGAAGCCCTCGAGGCTAGTGTTCACTCAAGCGATCAAGAAACGGAGCTATTTGGTAACAGTGACATTGGACACAAGGAACATCGTGATGGGCGAGTCGGGTGCGGTGTTCGGGTCCGTGACCTGGTCCGATGGTGTGAACCACGTGGTTCGAAGCCCCGTCGTGGTGACCCAAAGCGACCCGTTCCGATGAAATTTGCGTGAATTTGGTTCGATCATGTCTTTTGATCCAAAGTGTCACAATGGTTTGTGTTTTGTGTGTACCGAACTGCCCACGATGTAGTAGTAGTAGTAGTCATAGAAGTTGCTCCTCATAGTTATAGTTAAGGTTGTTTTATTTGTCATAATGTTTCTTTTTCGGGTAATCTTATTTTCTCATATATCTTTTTTTTTTGGTAAAAGGTATATATTCGATCCGATTTCCTTACATCTTCGTGTTCTTTCCCAACATTACATTATATATCGTGGGCAGGCATTATATATTCGATCCGATTTCGGGTAATCTTATTTCTCATATATCTTTTTATACGAAAATCTATATATATGTATGTAATATATATATATATACACATATATGAGATGTTGTGAGGAAAGCTGAGAAAACAGAGACCTTTACTTTATATCATACTGAAGGACAGACGAAATTGTGATTGTGAAAGGATAAATTGTAAACATGATGATAGAAGTTGCTACTCGCTGTCATTCTGCTCTTGTGCTTCTTTTAAATTATAATGATTTTGTTTAAATCGATATTCTTTTTGTAACCCATACGCCGAATAAAAAAGTCAGTACAAGAGAATTTTCAAAATACTTTGAATATATGAAACAATTATGTTTCCATTTTTATTTAGTAACCGTTTTTATTTAAATCTATATACGGTGATCATCGCTTCTCATATCCTTAAATAGTAAATAGCATGAAAAAAAATCATTTCCGTTCATTAAATATAATGGGCCAAACTCAATAACGTTTTAAATGAATTAGGTCCCAATTGGGCCGTGTGGTTCAGACCCAAAAATGTCATAAAGAGATATCTGATAGGCCCAAAAAGACGATACAAAGGCTTTAGCTAAAAGCCCAAAACATATTCAACAACCGATTCACTTTTTCATTTTAATCGAATTTGGCCTGAGAAAAAAAAAACACCGAATTTCGAAGCACTATATATTATTTAATGGGTTCTAGGCAATATAAAATTATCTTTAAAGTTTTGGAGTTTAAAGGTATCTACAAATATATCACAATGTATACAATTTTTTTGAAGTTAATTCATTTTCTGTACATTTTCTTTCTTTTATGCATTATTTAAGAGATAAATGTATAATGCTTATTCCACAAAAATGTTGGATATGTTTTATAGATTTATAATGTATTTTTTTTATGAATTTTGAATCGATTTTGAATATAAATATGGTTTGAATTTATTTTGGATTAATTTGAATATGTACATATAAACGTATTTTAAAAAATATTAAAAAATAGTTTAAAATATTCGAATTTGGATATTTACGGATATCCGATTCAAGTTCGAATATCTGATTCACGTGCACCAATTTAGATCATAAAATCATGTAACTCTAGATATTTAGATTTGAGATCAAGTTTGTTTACAACGAATACCATTGCATTTCAATCGAATAAAATATAATATATATTTTTTAAAAAACTAAATTAATTGAGTTCGAATAAAATATGTAAATAATAGAAATAAATAGAAAATTAATTTTTATAAAATAAAATATATTTAAATACAAAAATAATGATAATTTTAAAAATACTATAAGATATAAAGATAGATGGGTATAGATATTTTCAGAATTCAGATCAATTTAGATATGGTTTGATGCATATTACGCCGGAATGCAGGATTCCATATAGTTTATTCATTTTATTTTGGTGAACCCTAACTTCGTACGTTGCTTCCACAAAATAATACATAATTACACTTTGTATGTGTTGACATAACCTTCTAGATTTTGTTATTTCCATTTAAACAACTTGGTCGTTAATGACGACACTTCTCCAACTCGTTGTTATGAATTAAAATGTCCGAACTTATTAAATGATAACTAAATAGACGACGTAAAAAGAAAATCGACAAAAAAAAACAAAATAAAAACATCACCAACAACAACAATTAAAAAAACCCAACAAAGGCGGTTCCCGAGCTGATGGGCAGAGATGTAATTTTTGGATTTATATGATCTATATACAAAGACTGCTTCCGGATCGGAGATTTACCTAGTCAGCGTGTCCGAAGGGTAGCAATTAGGAGTGTTCCGTTATAAAAAAAACAATAAAAAAAAAAAAACTTCGACAAAAAAAACAACGGTCACGGGTTTGATCTTTTTTATCGACATATAATAGTAGGTGAGATTTAGTTAGGTCACATATATATATTTTTTACTTATTAATTTAATATATTCTTTCTTTTGTCTTTATTATACGGAATCGTACTTTTTCCAACAATATACGACTATTTAACCCATCTATTACTAATAAATATTTCCGTTTAAAACAAAATAAATTAAACCGAATAAAAATGTATTCGAATTTTTAAAATAAAATAGCGAATTTGATTTTTTAAAATTAATTATTTTTAATCGTAACCAAAACTGAAATTCCAATAAAATAATCTAAATAAAACTGAAATCCAAAATATCATTGTTTTATTTTTCTCAATCAAATTTTATTTTATTTTGCTTTTATGAGAAAACCATGTGATGAATTCAAAATCTATAAATAAAATTAGAGAATCTAAAAACAAATAAATGCACACAAATATAACTCAAATTCAAAACATCTGCCCATAAGTTAACATTGATAGATTTGATGTTATTCATTTGTCTCTCCTTTTTAGGATTTCTCTTTTCATCATTTCTTGTACGTAGCATCAGATAATCAATTGATCAATTCTAAATTAAAATATGCATATAAAGTTAGAGAATTTAAAACTATACCTCGTTATAAATGGTAGGTGTATTATGTGTGTATATATACACACACATATGTATGTATATATATATATGCGTTTATGTATCATGACGGGGTTATTTTGTAAGGATTGGATAATACAAATTGCATGTGGAGATTGTGAAGACATGGTTAAGTCATTTTATAGGTTAGCGAAAATGTGGCTTTTGGATACTGATGCGTCGCGAACTAGGTTCGGAATCATCTAGTTTTAATTACCTAGACACGACTTCCGCAAGCATACGGGTCAATTGTAGTATCTAGGGTCGAACTCTAGGGACTCGTCGGGAATCACCGGAACACAAAGAATATACTCACTATCTATAAGAATCGGACTTCTACTTGAGTTTCGGTCGATGGCGAATATGGTGGTGGTGGTGACACTAAACTACTAAAACGAGAATTTAAATGGTGGGTATATACAAATGGTGGGATAAACATCATAAGTTTGGGAATTCTCGGTTGTACAAGGATCGTGTCTAATGTTTACTTGGTATCTCACTAGCTCGGTTTGGAGAATTCAAGGTCTTTTGTCGAGGATTACTCTCTCGAGTCTCACCTCTCTTCCTAGAATCATTCAACCTACCGATCTCTCGATTCCTAATAGGTTGAAGACACTAAGAGCATATAGTTTCCTATCACAATTCATAGACAAATTCACCATCCTTACAAGAATGGATTGATCACCTATATGTCACCTATCCAAGGCAACCTCTCCATCTCCAAATGGTAGAATTATCTAATCAAAATGAATGTTTTCCAAGTCTAATTCCATATCACTATGAAAACTAAACTCTAGAATCAGTTGATTCAAGGGGCCAACAAGAATCAAAGCATTAAGAACATTCATTCAAACCAAAACATCAAACCAACAAGATAAGCATTCAATACACACATAAATTCTTATACAAACTCAAATTCCAAACTCATGAAGGGAGTTCTCACACAAATTCAAGAGAAACAACAAGACATATCAAAAGGATGATCCAAGAGTAGGAATAGAGAGATAGAGTTAGAGAGGCTTAGTGATTTAGGAGCATGATCTTCCTCTTCCTCCTCTTCTCCTTCTTCTCCTCTTGAATCACCCTTGAAAGCTTGGATTTTGCTCTCAAAACTCTCTCTCTAAGTATGTGAATTGCCTCCTGTAAACCTCTCATTCGTGCCCCTTTTATAGCCAAGAAAAGGAGAAAGACATTTCCCCATTTTCCTCCTCATTTTCCTCCATGATTTCCGAGCTCCATGTTTTGGGGAAAGTTGTTTTCTTGTCGTCACCAAAGTATATAGTCATAGTGTTTTCCTCATAACTTTCAGCTCCAATGTCTGATATTGAAGTGATCTTGGTGTCCACGTGTAGGTATTGAAGAGATCTTTCCAATGATGTATCGCACACGTAATTCGGATTTTTATGGAGAAAGTTATGTAGCTCGTAATAGCTCACTCTTGCACAGTTCGTCATTAGACTCATAGTATTTTCATCATAACTCTCTGATGCAATGTCGGATTAGAGTGATCTTTATGTCTGTGCGTAGCTATTGAAATGTGCTTTCCAATGATGTATAGTAAGAATTATTTGGACCTGTGTTGCGAAAGTTATGGAGATCGTAATGAAGACATCTTGCAAGCATTTCCTGTTTGACTCTTTGGTACTCGGAATATTTTCGGGTTGGCTCCGTATCATGTATTTTCCTCAGAAATTTCTCATTTTTGCCCAAAGCTCCAATTTTCCTACAAAATATCAAAAACATCGAAGTCGGAGTAAAATGTACAAGGGATATCTATAAATATACGAAATATCGCGAAATGCGCTAGACATCCGATGTGAAAATATGACAATATTTACATGTCATCAGATACAACTTAAGGCCACTTGGAATTCTTTCAACCAAATTGAATGTGGAGCGAACCCGTCCTTTTCAACTGCCATTTTAATGTTGTAAATTATTTGAACACCAATATCCTATTCAACGTAAAAATAGTTTTGGAGTTTTTTTTTCTCTAAGAATTATACTTGAGAATTTAAACACAATATTATAGATAAAATTCAAATTTATTTTCACAAGGATAGAAGAAAGAGTGTCCAAACCTATCTGTTGAAAACTAGAAAAATATTAAATAAGGATATCATTGTAGGTGTGTTATATGTTTTCTTAGAAACTACAAAATGTATTCAAATTATTTCTGTTTTCAGACAAATACACAGTAATAAAAATACCAAAATAAAGCAATTTTAACTTTTACATGTTCGGGCATAGCCTACAATGTAATATTCATTGTACCAGAGTTTTAATAAATTAAATTTCTTAATACTCCGACCTATTTTCACCACCATACATAAAATATTAAATAAACAGATTGAATCCAAATTGGATTCAATAACATATAATTATATTCCATTAACATTAAACCGATTATATATATATATATATATTAAAATTTATTAATTGAATTTAGTATAAAAATAAAGGAAAATGTTTTCTAAAATTCAATTCAAATATAAACTAAATCAAACAAAAATCTGCAAAATTTGATTCCATTATATGTCAATAGCTAAATACAACTGTCCTGGAAGGAGACGGGGAAAAGAAAAGTCCTCCTCCTTTTGTCCACTTGTTTCAAAAAAAAAGGGAGAACTGAGGTGACGTTTTGTTTTCTTTGGTAGCGGGGCCCACCTTTGTACAGATCTTAAATCTCAGCCGTAGGATCGAGACGAAGCTTTCATCCCTGTACTGTAGAGCAGCCGTACTAAATCATTGTCGCGTTATCGTTTTTTCCCCAACTTATATTTAATTAATAAATAAATAATTTTAAAATGATAGGGTAATAGACGGGACATATGATAAGCACACAACGTGATAGGCTCCATTGCAAATCACATATCGATTTCTGTATAATTCCCAATAAAGGAGGTCCTTATCATTTATATTCGAAATCGAGGGAATAGACCCACCATTTTATCTGATCTTATCACTAATTAATTATCTCCAACTTGCCGAAATGTATATTTAATTACCTAAAAAATACATTTTACATGATAGAACAAAACATCACTGTACCAAAACAACGAATATTGATGAAAAACTTATATAGTTTGATTAGATAGAACTATTTTTGTAAATAATTCATTGGATAACAAAAGTAATGTTTAAAAGCAACCACTTAATATCGAAATGAATTGAATCATTTGATTGAATAATTAAAAACATCCAAATTCATTAATTTATTTGCTCTGAAAACTTAACACTTTAATTAAGAAAATTGAAGCTAGTTTATAATTGTTAGAAATATTTTTTTATTTTTAAAAAGCAAAAATAGTTCGTATTAAAAAAAATTAAATATAATTTTGTAATTTAAAATAAATATTAAAAACAATTTTATAATTGTATTGAAATGCAAAACACCAAATTGATGCATGAATTCACTAATATTTTACGCATATACATCTTTTAAAATCGATCATTGTTCCATCTGAATCCAAATCTTGGACAAGTTTAAAATTAAAATTAAATCAAATCAATTATCGTAGCTAATTTATGCGGGCCCCTTTAAGAGGCCGTTGCCGACAACTAGATAAATAGTAACATATTAATTGGAGAGAAATATATAAAAACCCTTTTTTTTATGTTTTAATAAATCAAGCACGTGAAAGGTTATACGGATATTCCAATGGACTTATCATTTCGTCGGTTTATGATGAGCCCACGTTATGTAACCATATTTTATCTTTAATCGCATTTTAAGGTACGTACGAAATTTGATGAGCACATAGCTGGATGCCATTCAACCGAAATAAAAACAAATTCCCGACTTCGGATCACTTTGAATACGGACAAACTCTAGCCGCGTCGCGACTCGCTACGTTTGTCTCCTCCTTTAAATATTTTTTTTAAATATTAAACTCGACTTAATATAATAATCAAAATAACCATGCATGTGCTGCATGGATGTTGCCGCTTGACTTTAAATAAATTTGTTATTTCGGCTCAAAGTCTGCGCGTACGCTTTTGTTTATTATATATATAATAAATACACTACCCGTTCCCTTACAATATGCTCTTGCTCCTGCATGTGTGTATGCACGTATTTATACAATCCCATATATATATATATATAATAAGTGGACATCATTTTCTTATCTTACACCCGTATCGTTTAGTCGATTCATCTCTATTTCATTTTTTCTACGTTTTATTTCTTCCCATATTTTTTAAAATTATATATATTGCAACCCCTCCAAATAACATTACTGTTAGTATTCAAATATAAAATTGTTCTGAATATACTACTCTACGTGTATATTATATACATATATGTATGTGTGTGAGTGTGTGACTTTTTGTCCAATTTCTATATAAATATAGCATATTTTTTATTTGATAACGTAAAATTAGGAATTCTCTTTGTTCGTAAGACAATCACTTTTAATTTGCGTGAAAGGAACTGTTTGATGGCTGACTTCATGGATTCACAAACATCCCTACACTTTACTTCACGTAATTTATTTTTTAAAAATAAAAAAATTCATCATTAATTAAAATTTGCGTTTCAAAAATAAAAAATAATGCCTGATTTTACTGTATATTAGTTGCAGTCAAAACAAAACATTAAAAATAATTGAACGGATTTAATATATCGATAGACATCAATTGTGGTTTTCAATTACATAATGGCTAAATGGTAATTTAACAGGACACGAGCCTTATGCCGTAATTTAAATGCTTTCAGATAATGTTCCGTACCGGATAACCGAAAACCAAAACGTGAAGAAAAACCACGCTGTATCAAGCAAGTAGTACACGACATCATGAGTCATGACCCGTTTCTTTTTTTTTTTCTTCCAAGTTTTTTCAAAAAAAGAAAAAAAGAAAAAAAGAAGTGGTTTTCGATTTTTTAATATTTGGAAAATCACATATTTAAAAAACACTTTATAAAATGCTTAATCATTCTTCGTAGGTTTTACTTGACCCTAATAGAGAAATAAAAAAATACATAAAATATAAACTTTTTTACGTAATTTAACTATACCAACCAAAAAGATCATCACAAACTTTATGTCAATTTCTCTCTATTGGTATAATCATTCTAATATTAATTTAGAAATAATTTATAATGACTAATCTCTTTTTATGACAAACGTCACAAACCTATATATATGTGTGGGTGGGTGGGTGTAATATGCCAAATATAACATGCGATAGCAAAAGGGTTAAAAAAAACTTTCGGAATTCGGCTAAAAAAACTACACATTCTTAAAAAATGAAGTATTTTAATTTTTCAATATAATAAAATTACAATAAAAAACACGACATTCTATCCTCAAATATGATTCTCAACTCACTTTATGTTTTATGTATATAAAAGTCAATTGATAAAAACCACCTAAAATAGATCTATATTTTCTAAAATCGACTCAATATATATATATATATATATATGTACATTTAATAAACTTAAATAAATATAGAAATATCTTTTATATATTTATAAATATCAAGATTTATTCATAGTTACTGGTATTTAATTTTTTTCGTCTATTTCTCTTGTTTTTTATATCAAATTTTTAAAATTTGGATACTTAACCGAGATTTTCTTTCTTTTTCAAAATATACATTTTCAGTTTTTTTTAGAAAATCAGTAGTTGAAAAGGTCATTAGCGTATATGAAGGGTATCTTTTGTATATTGCCTTTTCGATGAATGTGTTTTAAATTAGGAATGAGTTTTTCTAAAATAAAAAGTTTATTAAATTAGATAATTGGGAATCTCTTAGAAAGTGCAATGCGGTACGCACACCGTATTTACGGTACATCAGCGGCTTCCAAATCCACACCTTGACCGTACGTGTCCCTTTCTCACCGTCATTCTCCCACCATAATATTTAATTTTAATAAATAAATAAATAAATAAAAAGGAAAAAATCTAACAGCAGCAACCCTTTCCGCTTTTTTAAAACCCTCCTGCACGCTTGAACCACCATCACCACCATCACCTTCTTCTCTCTCTCACTCGGCAATGGGGTCTCTGAGATCTTCTTCTTCTCCGTCTTCTTCGTCAGCTTTGAAATGGCTCGGCTTCGTTACGGCTGTTTGGGTCCAAGCCATCTCCGGCAATAACTACACCTTCTCCAACTACTCCGACGCTCTCAAGTCCCTCATGAACCTCACTCAGCTCCAACTCAACAACCTCTCCGTCGCTAAAGACGTCGGTAAAGCATTTGGAATCCTCGCCGGTCTCGCCTCCGACCGCCTCCCCACCCCCCTCATCCTCCTCATCGGCTCCCTCGAAGGCCTCCTCGGCTATGGTGTGCAATGGCTTGTCGTCAGCCGCAGAATCCAGCCCCTCTCGTATTGGCAGGGGGGGACTAGTTCGTAGTTATTCTAAATTTGAATGGTGGGTCATGCGATTTTGCGCGGGATCGTGATTTTTTCTATGCTTTTTTTTTCAGATGTGTGTGTTTCTCTGTATGGGAGGGAACAGCACGACGTGGATGAACACGGCGGTTTTGGTGACTTGCATACGTAATTTCCGGCGAAATCGTGGTCCTGTCTCGGGGATTTTGAAGGGTTACGTCGGCCTGAGCACTGCGATCTTCACTGATCTCTGCTCTGCTCTGTTCTCCGAAGATCCGGCATCGTTTCTGGTTTTGCTCGCCCTCGTGCCTCTTGCCGTCTGTCTCACGGCGGTTTTCTTCCTCCGTGAAATCCCTCCGGCGAGTTCCGCTGACGAGGAGAGCGAGGAGACTCGGTACTTCGCCGTGTTCAACGTCGTGGCCGTCGTGGTCGCTGTGTACCTTCAGGCCTATGACCTCATCGGAATCAAAACCGGAGTGTACTCCATCATCTTCGCCTCCATACTCCTAGTCCTCTTGGCTTCTCCCCTCGCCTTGCCGTTCTACTCCTTCGTCCATAGCTCGAATCAGAGAAAGCGCGTGGAAGAAGACATCGAAGGACGAATCGACGAGCCGTTGCTGGGACCCGAGATCGTGGAGGAGAAGGAAACTGGCGCTGCAGCGGCGGAGGACGACAAGTTGCCGACGTCGATATTGAAACAGGCGACGGCGGAAGAAAACCAACGAACCACTGCGACGACAGAGGATGTAGTGGTGAAGAAGAGGCCGGTTCTGGGGGAGGACCACACCATAATCGAAGCCATGTTGACCGTCGATTTCTGGGTACTGTTCTTTTCGTTTCTGTGTGGTGTAGGCACTGGTTTGGCGGTGATGAACAACATGGGTCAGATCGGTCTCGCGCTTGGTTACACAGACGTATCCATGTTCGTCTCCATGACCAGCATCTGGGGATTCTTCGGCCGGATTCTCTCCGGTACTGTCTCCGAGTACTTCCTCAAGTAAGTTCTCCGACCATTAATCTCCCTAATCAACTTGGTTTTTGTTAATTACACGGTGGGGTCTCATTAATCCGATTAAACAACGGGAAACGAGTTGATTAATTATAGTTTAAATTATTAAGGTCAGATCTAAATCTTATTTGTTAAAAACTCTGCTCCCATGCTCTCCGCCGTGTCTACGACCCGATCTAATCACGTGACGTAGAATATTCTCACGGATCATTTCCCTCTTTCTACATTAGTAAAGTCAAAAGCTTCCCTGTTCCATCTTTGCTTCGCCGGTAAGGCAGACATCAGAGATCTCTTTGTTGTGCCAATTTCCTTGACTTTCTTCGAAACTTCGTCGTGTTTTCAAATCCTTTTCTGTTTATTAATCACAATGAATTGAATTGAATCGAATCGTAAACATTTCATTATGATGGGCACGCGTCGGTCCAATAGTTTCTGCTGCAGGGACCATCAAAAGTTTTCAACTTTAATTTCTTCTTTCTTTCATGGACCACAGAATTCCCATCACTTTCCCACTTTTCCTCTCTAAATATCCTTCAAGTTTTTTCATAGATTTTCTTCTCCAAGTTGGGTTCTAGACGTGGGACCTCTGTATTCACACGGTCTTAAACCACCGTTCATCAAAGTCTGCAAATTCTTCTATGATGCATTATATGATTAAAGAGACTTGTAATCAAGTTCATGAAGGTGAAATTCGAAGATCAGTGTGAACATAATTAATGACAACCAATCGTTAGAAGATTCATAATAACGAAGGTTTTGACCCTTGTGATGCATTTATGAACTGTGCAGGAAAGCTGGAACACCAAGACCGCTATGGAACGCGGCCTCACAGATCATAATGGCCGTAGGATACATACTGATGGCTTTAGCCATGCCGGGCTCGCTCTATATAGGCTCGATGGTGGTCGGGGTCTGCTATGGTGTGCGTCTCGCCATAACCGTTCCTACAGCATCTGAACTCTTCGGTCTCAAATACTACGGTCTCATCTACAACATCCTCGTCCTTAACCTGCCTCTTGGCTCTTTCCTCTTCTCCGGTCTCCTTGCTGGTCTCCTCTACGACGCTGAGGCCACACCCACACCGGGTGGCGGCAACACTTGCGTCGGACCGCACTGTTATCGCCTCATCTTCATCGTTATGGCTTTCGCCTGCATCGTCGGGGTTGGTCTTGACATCTTGCTCTCGTTCCGGACGAAAGATATCTATGCAAAGATCCACTCGAGCAAGAAGGCCAGGAAATCTGGTGGTAACCTTAGTTGATTGAGGTTTTGGTAACGAAAGTTGTAAACTTTGGATTGTTTTTGTCACCACCCTTTTTTGTTTTTATGGTTACAAATGTAGAATTTTTTGTTGTTATAGCACCGAACATTATAAAATTCGATTGGGTCATTTGACCAGATATCCAAGATAACGTGCTTGCTTGAGTGGCGCAGGATAAGAGATTTCACCTGTTTGCTCCGCTATCCGTCCCACCCGGACGGTGATAACGTGCGCCGGAACAGCGGTCTATCTAACGTCATAATCTTATCCTGTGGGGGAGTTGCTTCATTGTCATCCATGGAAATCAATATCATCCATAAAAGGTTCACAAAAAAATCAAAACAAAAAAGAGAGAGAATGCGATTGATTGAATTGGACATTTTTTAGAGAATACAAAACCAGTTTACCAAAAAAAAAAAAAAAAAAATCCGAAGCGTGAAACAACAAAATTTCATGTGTAGCTCGTTTCTATTACAACATAAATGTCTGTACGCTTGCAACAACGTCTATGAACGGGAACCTGTGGTAATGTCAGTGGAATCCTCTTGAACCTCTAGACTGATAAAGCTCCAACCTACTCTTAGCTTCAGGCAAGAGCCCTTCAATGGTCGGCTCCTCAGCAAGATGAGCTTGTTTGGTCGACCATTCGAGGACTATGAGAACCTCTTCTTGAGCCAGAGTCTCACTGTCCGGTACATTCAACGCAATGTAGCATAGAAGCGTCAATGCCGGGATTTGAACCATTTGTTCTCCAAAGTAGACTAGTTGGATCAGATGCTTAGCTCCTCCTGCCGCTATGATAGCCTTTGAATGGTTATCGTGTAGGAAATTCTCGGGGCAAGCGAATTTGTTCAGTGCTATGGCTGCTTCCATTGAAACCTCTGCTTCTCGCTCGTCTAGAAGCTTCACGAGTGGAGCGACAATTCTGGTTTCTGTTGCGCGGAAAGTTCTCGAAAGATTTCCCATTGCCTTGATGCTTGGGATTAGAAGATCCGGGAGTTCGTTCTCGATCACTTTTAGTAATTGCTCAACCACTGCTTTTGCAGCAGGGGTCGTCGGCTTGAAAGCAGAGCGTCTCATTTCCGGGTATTGCTCTGCAACAGCTGTGATCTCCATTAATGCCAATGCCGAGTATGACTTCACTTCTTCGTCCCCTTTCTCTAACAAGACAGCGAAGCAAAGCAATGCCCTTGATTCAGTTATGTTTCTGCATATCTGGAGATTCCCTCTCGAAAGCTGCCATAACGCTCTAGCGGCCATTGCTTTCATCTGAGCCTTTGTGATTGGATCTTCATATTCTCTTCCTTTGATGCTCGTCCCGGTCAATGAAATATGCGTTTGGTGGTTCTCTCTCGGGTGACGACCATGACCCGAATGGCTGTTCTGACCACCCTTGCCATGGTTAGGGTTCGAGTTTGTTCTCATACCTTGATGCTTGCTAGGGACCTTCATCGCCATCGTGTTTGTAACGACGTTATGCATCTGGCTCAGTGACTGGTGCCCCATGGGATGAGCGATTCGGCTACTCGTCTCGTCCTGCTCGTTGTCCTTCTTCTCAGAACATGAACTGTTGTTGCTCGCCATGAAAACGGTGTGGATCGAGGACATAGTCTGTTTGTTGCTCACTATGGCGTATTTGCTATGCTCTTGAACCGTCTCGAAAGCGAGGTGACTCACGAGGAACCGGATGATGTTGTTCTGAGCGAAATGGTCTTGGCACTTCGGATGGTTCGAGGCTAACTCCGAGACCGCCCACGCCACCACGGACTGAACCTTCATGTGACCTTCTTTGAGAATTTTAGCAAACACTTGGCAGACACCTGCGTTCACGATCTGTTCCACACTCTCCGGGTCACGGCCCAATAACCCGATGGCTCGAGCCGCGTTCTCTTGCCCTTCCATTTTCCCTTCCTTGGCAAGCTTCAGCAATGGCGGGACTCCTCCTTCCTCGATGATCAATCTCCCGTACCGATCATTGTCTCGGGCCAATGACACGAGCGACGCGGCTGCGTCGGATCGCTCGTCCATGGACCCCGTGTAGAGAATCGCGACCTGTTCCCAGATCAAACACAAGATGGGTTCGTTGGCGGCGATCGGAGGGAGACCCAGGTACTCGTCGTCGCGGTCGTTGGCGGAGGCGGAGACGCGGAGGAGCCATGAAACGTCGCCGATGGAATTCTCGAGCTGCATCGTGATCTTCCTGAAGGCAGCCGCGGGGATGATGGTGAAGAGACGCTTCATCAGACCTGTGGCTCGGCACTTGTCGACGAGCGCGACGACTTTCATGAGGACCTGCTCCGTGTCGTCGATGATTCGGCGCGTGGGTCGTTCGTAGAGGTCGTTGCTCGCACGCGCCGCCTGTCGGAGGAGTCCGGCGAGCTTCTCCGTCTTCGCCTTCACCTCGAGACATTCCTGTCGGAACGAGTAGGCGTCGTCAGCGGCTTTCGTCACCTGATCCGCTAATTGGATCGGTCTCACTAAGATCTGCTTCACGATGTCCGCCATCGATTTGTCGGGTTCCACGAAAACAGAGCAAAATCAAAGGGGGAACAGAGAATTGATCTCCGTTCGTTGTCGTTTATACCTCCCCTCCTAACTTCTTGTTTCCGGGTGCTGTTGCATTTGGGTCGACGAGTTTATTCACGTCGGAGCTGACGGTGGTGGCTCAGCCGGAGACGACGGTGAGAGGGAGAAGGAGAGAGAACGAGATGGTCGGACGTTAATTTCCCCAAGTTTCCATGATAGAAGAAAAAACTCCCAAATTGCCGTCGTTGGAATGCATGCGTTTATTGCCTTATATAAATAATGCATATATGCATCGGGATGTCATCATATGAATCAGTTATGTAGTTATTATTTGAAATTGATATATAAAATTGGACAGGAAGGGAAAGAGTTTCATGAGATTTTTCAAAACTTTGAACCGGATTTCTAAACCGGAGTTTTTTTCTGATGGATTTGTTCTTAAAATACGAGAAGCAGAAGAAACCCAATTATAAACCGAAATCATTTTTTTTATTTAATCATATTAAACAAAACTGTAACTACATTGTTATTATGATTTTTTTAATAAAATACATTCATTATCTACAAATCATGAATTTTATGTTGGATCGTCGTCCCATAGTACGGATAATCGATATAAACATATTATAGTATATTAAAATATTAATCACACACATTTGACCCTCGAGAAAACGTGGTGCTCAGTGGGCCCTCCGATTAAACCAAATCAACAGCCCATGTCAAAGATATTGTACATAGTGGGCCCTCTCATCAGGCCCACCACACGCGACATGCCCCAAGATTGATATCTTTATTTCTATGTTTTTTATAAAGATTTTTTCTATCACTTTTTATTTATTTATTTTATTAAATTCGGGTTCCATTTATTTGTATTTTTAATTATAAAAAAATCAAAATTTATTATATCCATTTATATTATGTATCATTGAATTTGCTTGCTTTAATTTTATATAATTGAATCAAAATGTGCAAAATTATGTAAACAAATCACAACAAAATACTAAATTTTTATGTATTTTAAACAAATTATAAGTACTGTTAGTCCTACAATAACAAAGTTAACTTATAGAGAGAATCTAATTCGACTGCATATATAATTGTTTTTTTTTGTATTTTGGCAATTAAAAATCTTAGTTAAGAAAACAACAAAAATGTTTATAATATTTTTCTTGTATTTATTTATTAAGGATTTAATATTTATTTTCACAAAAGTTCTATCCAAAATGATGAAAATATTTTATATAATCAGCCGAAAAACAAAGTAATTTATATACGTCGTCGTATTATGGTTGTATTTATATCCCCTTGTGAGACACGAGGGTTTTTCTTCATCCCCTCTCTCACTTCCACTGCGTCTGTCCTATTTGTCCACGTCATCATCATTTTGGCATCTTTCACGATGATACCGATGAGCCATTCTCTACCGTCCGATCAATTAACCCAAAACGATTCTAGACCGTCGATCAAAGTCTCTTATCTCCTTCCCCCTTCCCCCTTCCCCGTCGTATTCGCAAAAAATGCAGAAGAAAGTGAAGCGCATGGAGTATCCTCAGATTTCGCTTCCATAAATTCTTCTCTATTTATTAGTCCTCTCTTCCTCTCTCACCAGGCAAGTTTTTCTCCATTGTCGTCCGACTTTTATTTCTCTCTCTCTCTCTCCTCTGTAGATTTTCAGGGGTTTTCTATGTTCTGCTTGCTTTTGTGTTTGTGAACCTATGGCTTGATATGCATATGATCTGGAGGTCATTATCACGTCCATGGAATTTGGTGTCCGGGTTGGAAATGGACGTGGATCCAGGCTTTTGTCGGGATCGTTCTGAGCTAGGGGTTTTCGCTTTCTTTTGGCTTTCCGCTTGAATTTTCTGTTGTTAGGGCTTCTATCTAGGTGAAGCGTATATGATTGTTTCAGTGACTTGTGATTTCTGGTTCGGTGTTGTTTCTGATTTCGGGGTTTTGCTGGTTAGGGTTTTGAAGCGGTGGTTATCTACAAATGGAAGATGGGGCTGAGATTGTGGATGGGTCATACGCGGAAGAGAAGAAGCTTACGGAGGATAAGGTTCGCGATGATGAGGTGGAGAAGAGGGAGTCGGTGGAATCAGATTTAGTGAAGGACGCAGAAGACGAAATTTTTGAGGAAGCAATCGATCTACAGGAGGATTTGCCCGAGCAGGGTGGACAACCTGGATCATCTGATGCAAGTGCGGTTCATGAGGATTCTGCTTTAGAGGTAGCTTCTGAGAATTCAAAGGGCGAGCATGAAGTCGAGGAGTTCGAAGAGGCCACGGACACTCTCGATGATAACGACGGTCACCTTGAGCTAAATGCGGGAAATGCAAATGATTTAGGAGAGGCTGAAGCCAATTTGGAGATTCCCGAAATAAATGATGGTAAAGGGGAGCTCGAGTTTGGCGCTAATCAAGATGCGGAAATTTCAAATGGTCACGGTGAAGTGAACTTGGATGTTGCTAAGAATCCTGCGAAGGTCGACACCACAGATTCCAATTCACTGGTTGATGGATGGAGTGTGGAAAATGGAAATGTCCATTCGTTTGTCGAAAATGGTGTCGGCATTCATGAAGAGAAGAAAGAACTTGGCACTCAAGCTACTTCAAAAGATGCTGAGCCCAAGGACTCGGAAGATAAAGGCATCATAGATGGATATGAGGCGAGAACTGATACCTCAGCTTGTACGCAAGTAGATCATCAGGTTGAGGAAGGTGAAGGAATGGGTAAAAGCTACTCTGAGAAAGGTTCAATATATGGAGAAAATGAGGCTGGGGCACAAAGAAACGGCAATCTCAGTTCCAAGAATGAGCTTATTGGGGATGAAGCAGTTGGAGAAGCAGTCAGTAATCATACCCCTAGTGAAGGGGATGACACAAAGAGTGATGTTCGAAGCACTTCTTGTGACAAGACGTCAGAAGCTGGATGCTTGTTCTCTGTGGAGAAATCTATTGTTGAGGAAAAGGGTGAAGTCGAAAATCATAGTAATGGTTTGATTCCAGTGGATCACTTGGTTTCTCCTTCTCCGAGATCAAATTCAGAATCCGCTGAAGTTCATAGCTATTATGCTATTATCGAGGGAAACGATAGAAAGCATGAGGCAATTCAAAGTATAAATCCAGAACATGAGCAGCTGCAAAAACCTTGTGCTAACATTGAACGTCCGATTAAGGAAAGCTCACAGGTGAACAGAGAATGCGAGGAACCACGTGCTGTAAGTTCTGCTTCATCAACAGAGTCTAGAGGTAATAGTACTGCAGCATCACCTCCTGTTCGTCCGGCTGGTCTAGGCCGAGCTGCTCCACTTTTGGAACCTTCATCACGTGTTTCTCAACAGCCTCGTGCAAATGGCAGTGTTTCCCATTCACAGGCTCAGCAAGTTGGGGACTCTGCTACTGGTGAGACTGATGAGCATGATGAGACCTGTGAAATGCTTCAGATGATCAGGGTGAAATTTCTGAGGCTTGCTCATAGGCTAGGACAAACACCACATAATGTTGTCGTTGCTCAGGTTTTGTACAGGCTTGGACTGGCTGAACAGTTGCGGGGTAGAAGTGGCAGCCGTGTTGGTGCTTTTAGTTTTGATCGTGCCAGTGCTATGGCAGAGCAACTCGAGGCGGCTGGTCAGGTGCCGCTTGATTTTTCTTGTACGATTATGGTACTTGGGAAAAGTGGAGTTGGTAAAAGTGCAACGATAAATTCCATATTCGATGAGGTGAAATTTGTCACTGATGCTTTTCAGATGGGAACAAAGAAGGTTCAGGATGTTGAGGGTTTTGTTCAGGGGATTAAGGTACGAGTGATTGACACTCCAGGCCTCTTACCATCCTGGTCCGATCAACGACAAAATGAGAAGATCCTGAATTCTGTCAAGAATTTCATCAAGAAAACACCACCTGACATCATATTGTATCTTGATAGGTTGGATTTGCAGAGCAGAGATTCCGGCGACATGCCGCTCTTGCACACCATCACCAATATTTTCGGACAGTCCATATGGTTTAATGCGATTGTGGTTTTGACTCATGCAGCTTCTGCTCCACCAGATGGTCCAAATGGCACTGCTTCTAGTTATGACATGTTTGTAACACAGCGCTCTCATGTCATCCAGCAAGCCATTCGTCAAGCGGCTGGGGATTTGCGGCTCATGAACCCTGTTTCTTTAGTTGAGAATCACTCTGCATGCAGGACGAATCGTGCTGGCCAGAGAGTGTTGCCGAATGGCCAAGTCTGGAAGCCTCATTTGCTATTACTCTCATTTGCATCCAAAATTCTGGCTGAAGCAAGTGCTCTTCTGGACTTACAGGATAATAAACCGGGGAGGCCAATTGCGGCTCGATCCAAAGCACCCCCTTTACCATTCCTTCTCTCATCGCTTTTGCAACCAAGACCTCAAGTTAAGCTTCCTGATGAGCAGTATGATGATGGAGAAGATGGGGAAGATGATTTGGGAGAGCCGTCAGATTCTGATGAGGAGTCAGAATATGATCAGCTTCCTCCCTTTAAACGGTTGACTAAAGCTCAGGTGTCTAAGCTTAGCAGAGCCCAGAAGAAGCAGTATCTTGACGAGCTGGAGTATCGGGAGAAACTATTTATGAAGAAACAGATGAAAGAAGAACGAAAGAGACGCACGATGATGAAGAAACTTGTTACTGAGATTAAGGATTTGCCCAACGAGTACAGTGACAATGGAGAAGAAGAGAGCAGTGGACCTGCATCTGTTCCAGTTCCCATGCCGGATTTGGCACTACCTGCATCTTTTGACTCTAATAACCCAACTCACCGATATCGGTACCTTGATTCCTCCAATCAATGGCTTGTACGGCCTGTCTTGGAGACACATGGTTGGGACCATGATGTTGGCTACGAGGGTGTAAATGTCGAACGGCTTTTCGTTGTCAAAGACAAAATACCAATATCTGTCTCGGGCCAGGTGACGAAAGACAAGAAGGATGCGAATGTCCAAATTGAAATGGCCAGCTCGATTAAACATGGGGAAGGTAAATTGACTTCACTGGGTTTTGATATGCAGAATGTTGGAAAGGAATTGGCTTACACTCTTCGAAGTGAAATGAGATTTAACAATTTTAGGAGAAACAAGGCTGCAGCCGGTCTTTCAGTGACTCTCTTGGGCGACTCATTGTCTGCTGGCGTGAAAGTCGAAGACAAGCTGATTGCAAACAAACGGTTCAGATTGGTTATGTCTGGTGGGGCGATGACTGGTCGAGGAGACGTTGCTTATGGTGGTAGTTTAGAAGCTCAGTTGAGAGATAAAGATTATCCATTGGGTCGGTTTTTGACAACTCTTGGTTTTTCCGTGATTGACTGGCATGGCGATCTTGCCATTGGGGGGAACATACAGACCCAGTTGCCGATTGGACGTTCTACAAATCTGGTCGCTCGTGCTAATCTGAACAACAGAGGAGCCGGGCAAGTGAGTATTCGTATGAACAGCTCCGAGCAGCTCCAACTTGCTTTGGTTGCCCTCGTTCCCCTGTTCAAGAAGCTACTTAGTTATTCTCAGCAAATGCAGTATGGATAATGATGGAAAGAGCTTTAGGTCGGTCATCGAGTATTATCAGGGAATATGATGATTAGTCACCAAAGAACAGTCTAGAGTGAAGTTTAAAAAAAAAGGTTAAGACACTTAAAAGACACCATCTGTCATGTCTCAATTGTTGCATCTGTGTATGTATTGATATTGATGTCCTCTGTTTTTGTTTTTGTTGGAACAGGAGCTGCTGCATCTTCTATCCTCTTTGATGTTTCCTTCTCTGTTTGGACTTTGGAAGGCAAAGGCCAACAATGGCTCGAGGATAAAGCCCGTTTCTTGCAGAAGTCCCCAAGTGAATACATTACATACCTCAAGTATTTTGTCAAGATATCTACAAACTCAGTAGTGATCTCTTCTCTCTCTTTCTCTCTCTCTCTCTATATATATATAACCACCCTTTTGGTATGTTAGAATAAAAGAATGTTATTCTATTTGTTCTTATCCGTTTGGGTTAAGACAGATAATAGCCTCGTTCAAGAGTGTGTAATTGTATCTTTTTCTCATCCTTTCGTTGAAACCCTAAGGCCCTTCGCACTCGGCTCTCCCGCTCTCCCCTTTTCTCCCAGTTCGGGTTATCCACGAGTATGATTAATCGGTCGATGAATCCCGAATTCAAGCCTGTGGCTCGAATTATCCTTAGCCGCAAGCTCGAGCTCGCGCTCTCTGTGGCTGAGGTTATTGAATTTCGGGTATTCCGTACGCGTGGAACCTGCGGGTTTGGCGCCATAAACAAAGACACGAACATGTATTGACATGTCGCCTGTTGTGGCTTTTACTTGAAACCTCAAACTCAACACGCACTTCGGTTTGGTAGTCCACTGAAAACATTATTCCAAATCCTACAAAAATCACGAGTGAATCCGGAACAGGTGACATGCCAATACATTCCAGACAGCGGATTCTGAATTCATGACAAAGGAATGGTTCAAGCTGTGAACTGTGGCGGTTTCCTGACCATAGTCGCTTGCTCGAATCCGTAAGCAATCTCTATGAGATTTGGTTCTGAAAATCTCAATCCCCCGAAGCTAATCCCGAAAGGAACTCCTTCTCTGTCGTATCCTGCAGGTACATTGATTCCCGGATACCCTCCTATTGCCAGCACTGGGCTCACATCCGAGCCGACAGTCACCATCGCGTCTAAACGGTTCTCCTTCATCAGTTTCTCGATCCCATTTCTCGAAAGCTTTTCTAGTTTGGATATCAGTGCTTTTTCTGTTTCTCCGATTCCGTTTGTTGCTTCTGCTGCAATGAAATTGTCTTGACCCCATTGTTCCGTCTTCTCCTGCAGATTTCATCCGAGAAGTGTCGGGTTTTAGTTCACAAGATTCAAGACTCAGGGATGAAGGAATACATCCGTTTTGCTTACCAGTTTAGAGAACTTTTCGTTAAAGGCGATAACGTCTTTTAAGGATCGAACGGGCGAATCGACGAGCTCTTCGAGATATTCATTCAGAGAAGCCTTGAACTCTGCAAGAACTACAATGGCTTCGCCGCTCTGAAAGTAGTCCAGGATGACTTCGATGTTTGGTATTTCCAGATTGTCAATGACGATTGCGCCTTCTCGTCTGATTTTCACAAAGATCTAACTTCAGTAATCGAAATGGCTTGAAAGTATGCAGTATCTACGTGATAGTCACCTTAAAGTTTCGACGTGACGATCAAGAGCTTCAACGAGAATGGCATCACTGGAAGAATGGAGGAAAGGCTTCCGTACTATTCCTAGTCTCTTTCCCCTGAGGCCATAAGGATCTAGAAATGACTTGTAACCGCCTTCGGGGATGTGTTTCGACGCCTTCTTCGTGGCCTTGTCCATATCATCTTCGCCAACGATCACGTCTAGAAGATGGACAGCATCGGACACTGTCCTGCATATAGGCCTATTGCAAGAGAAGAAACCCTAATCACTAACAGAGAAGATCCAAATGTTCTGAGAGCTAAAAGGTAACATATTAGCATCCGGGTTTCAATAGATTGTCATATTTTCTGCGTTTTAATGTTTCTCTTTTTCATGATCATTGCAAAGTTTGGAATTTTATCATCAACTACGTGAAAAGTTTAGTTCTTTCGATGATCTGACCCGATAGTGTCCTGCCTAGGAGAAATAGGGACAACCCGGCTGGTGAGCCCAACAGTTGGTTTAATGCCGACCACCGAGTTCTGATTGGCCGGACAGAGAATGGAACCATCGGTTTCAGTCCCCAATGTCACAGCCACCATGTTTGCCGCCACTGAAATGGCCGAACCACTGCTTGACCCACATGGACTTGCTGACAATACATAAGGATTCTGCAGCAAAAAGTTCATTGCAAGAAAACCCATTTGAGCTTCTGCAATTCTCTTCTCCAAGCAGATAAGATTTGGACAAATGTTATATAGTTTTCGTTCATGTAAGACTCTATATGAACTGACCTTGCCTTGACCGCCTCGTGCGCTCCAGCCGCTCGGGATCGAGAGGGATCGGAAGTTAGCCCATTCGCTCAAGCTGGCTTTCCCCAATATCACAGCCCCTGCTTCTCTCAGTTTCTTCACCACGGTTGCGTCACGGGCCACGACAGAACCAAGCAGGGCCCACGACCCTGCAGTCGTGTTGAGCTTGTCTTTGGTTCCAATGGAGTCCTTGAGCAGAACAGGAATCCCGTGCAGGACCGGCAACAGAGACAGGTCGTCCTTTGATTTGGTCTCACGCTCCCTGTCTGCTCTCTCTGCGTCGGTAATGGCATCGGGGTTTGTCTCAATGACTCCGTGGAGTGTCGGATTGAGTTCTTGGATTGCTTCAATGTAGAACTCCACGAGCTGTCTCGAAGTAAGTCTCTTTTCCTTGAAAGCTTCTCTGATGTCGTCAATGGTGGCTTCTTGAACCGTGAATCTTGTCTTGATGATGGTTTGATTTCCGCCAGACACAGATTCAAGAAGAAGAAGAAGAGGAAGAAGAAGAGATGAAGATGAGAGAAATCGAGTAAGAGCCATGGCTTTGGAACTAGTCAATGTCAACTTTCTCTGCCTTTCTCGTACAATGTTGCCCTTCACATTCTTCTATGAATAAACTAATGCCACATGCCATTTGTTTAATACAAATTGGCTCAGGTTACTTAAAACGGCACGCATTTCTGGCGTCTCTGCGGAGACCTACAAGATGTTTGGATTTACTAAACCAGTGGCAAAACACATACAATGTAAGGTCTCTGCCCATAAAAAATTATGTTATAAGAACATTTAGTTTCAGAAGATCTGCATATAGAAACACAATGCGTTAAACTAGATGAAAACGCGGTGACATGTCACGTGTACTATATCCAAGTAATAAAACGACACGCATTCTTCGCACATATGCGGAGAACTACAAGATGTTTTGAATACAAACCAGCATCCAGACGAAACTTGTGGAGTAACCACAAAAAACCATGTCCTAAAGAACATAAGAGTTCACAAGCTCTGTATATAGAATGCATCAAAGGAGATGGCAAGATACATCTAATATGTCAAAGTATGCATCCAAAAGGCCAAGAACAATGGAATTATATATAACAAGAAACATATACATATATATATATATATATGTATATATTGATGGATCAGTGGCATGGTGTGAATCTGCAGGTGACTTTTCCCGAACCGGAATTAGCCCGGAGGAAGCGGAGAGCGGTCAAAAGAACACGGCGTTGGGAGTTAGCGACGAGGGCCAAGTTCGTGTCAGTGATCACAGAGATGGGAGAATAAGGAAACTGGAAGGAATTGTAAGAGTTGAGGAGTGAAGTTGTAGCTTCCCTCAAGAGTGTTTTATACGCCTCTCCTCTCCCTTGAAGCGCTTCCCACAACGTTATATCCGTCCCGTATTTTCTTCCCGCTATTACGCCAAACGCAACCGCTACCTTCGTGTCGGGACTCAACGCTCTCCAGTAGCACTTGTACTCTGGTCTTGTCCAGTACCTGTCACAGTACATGTGTGTATATATATATATATCATATCTGGAGAGATTCTGATACCAATTTTATAGAACCTATCCTGTAATAGGACCAGTTCGATCCTTTTAAAGCTCACAGATAGAACTCGGCTTATGAAGGAGTGAATACACATATTAGCAAGAGATAAGAGAGAGCTTACTGATGTGAGCAAGCCGAGGGTTCCACGAAAGGCATTGGGGGCATTGGAGGAAGTGGCGGCAATGGAGGAAGCTTAAACTGAGGAGACGGGATTGCGGGTATCGAGGGAGACCTTACGGGAACTTGAGGAGCAGGTTTAGGAGTTTCGGGTTTAGGACACGAAGACATGGGCTGAGAAGGTTGAGTTAGAAGCCCGTCAACGTTGTACATTGCCATGCCAAACATACTGAACATCAGTTTCGCTTTCTTGGCAGGACCTATGGCTATGCTGCAATTGCTGGATCCTTGTAGAGTTCCATCAATGTCTGACACTTGGGCATAACAGTTGCTCAAATCAGGCTGCCCGTCGAATCTCATAACGTATCCTCCGAGCCAGTTAGTGGTCTCTTCTCTTGTCATGTAGACTTGTCCATCGCCATCAGAACATGTAACACTGACCTTGATTCCTGCAAGAATCAAGAAAACATCACTCTCAGATATTTCGAGAAAAGAATCTGAGAGACGAAAGAAGATTGAAGTAAAACCAAAAGGGCAATGCTGCCTTTTACCGGAGACAGGGTAATCGAACAACGATATCTCCCCGTCCTTGCATTGGTCACAGAAGACAGTTCCAGTCACCGTGGCATACCCTCTGACTCGATCAGTGGCTATGCAGAAAACTATGAACATCAGAAACATGAGTTTATGATATTGTTCCATAGATACTGCGAGATTCTTGAACCAATACCAATGGAGAAGAAGGAAAAAAGCTCGGTTCTTGTTGGCTTGATCGTGATTACAAGAAGAAGAGCATTATTATAAAGGAGTAATAACCTTCTTCTCCAACCCTCAACTGCCAAAATTTAATTGAGGTGTTGACAAAAATATTAGATCTGATCATGGTCTGAACAAGAAGGAACAAAGAGATCCGTACGTTCCAAGAACATTAATGGCCGGCGTATACAACTGTCAAAGCTGGTCTCTGCAATAAATTTAGCGAAAGCTTTAAACTTTTCTCTTTTTTTCCATCTGGGTGATGGTTAATGGTTCTAAGCAATCAATACAAGGACTTGCACGAGAAGTGAACACACATATCAGATGCGCATGACTTTGTGGAACATAGCATGTGAATTCATTACATGACACACGTATCGTGTTCTCTGTCCGATAATTATACAAGAGAAAACGTAAAGGGTCCTCAAGATTCAGAAACATGGATTGATGAACAGAAAAAGGGACGATCCAGACATGAAAGATCCAAATGTTCTTGATTCTTGGAGTGAAATGTGTTTCTTTTACAAACCGGTCGATTTGGTTTGGAATTAATGCTTGTCTCGTGCAATGAGATGAAAAGAGAAGCAATATAGCTGGAGAAGTAGAAATGAGGAGCATTCATTGAAGACATCAAAAGTATATATAGTTCAGAATCATCACTTTGTATCATATGGATATTAAAGACCCGACTGGTTGCGTCTTGTGGACCGTTGATACTGAATAGTTGATAAGTGAATGTTTGTGGCGATTACGGTTGGTTGCGATTACAAATAAATTGTTGTAAACATTTGCACTTGCGTATTTTTTGTATTATCATTTTATAAAATAAATATTTTATATAAGGAAAATTTCCAAAAAAATCATCCAATTATGAGATAACCATCACATCCATCACGAACTTTTAAAATTTCCAAATTCATACTGGATTTAAAATTTTTTTCTAAAAAATTATTCGAAATATAAATTTTAACAAAATCCTCGTCGGAACAGAATTAATTTTGTCACATATGCAAAAAGCGGCTACATGGCGCCTACGTGGCATGTACGTGTTCGCCACATAGAATATACGTGGCATTAATAATAAAAAAATTTTAAAAAATTGGAAAAAAATGTAAAAAAAATTCTAAAAAATGTGAAAAAATTACAAAAAAATGTAAAAATTGTAAAAAATGTAAAATTATAAAACATTTTCAAAAAATACAAAAATTATAAAAATTGTAAAAAATTATAAAAAATGGTAAAAAATTGTAAAAAAATTGCAAAAAATTATAAAAATTGTAAAACAAATTGTAAAAAATTATAAATTTTTAATTTGTTTTTAAAAAAGAGAAATTTCCAAAAAAACAAATCATTCAATTACGAGATAACTATCAAATTCATCACAAACTTTACAATTTTACATTTTTATAATTTTTTACATTTTTTGAAAATGTTTTGCAATTTTATATTTTTTACAATTTCTATAATTTTTTACAATTTTTATAATTTTTATATTTGTTTTAATATTTTGAAAATGTTTTACAATTTTACATTTTTTACAATTTTTACATTTTTTTGTAATTTTTTCACATTTTTTATTATTAATGCCACGTGTATCCTACGTGGCGAACATGTACAGGCCACGTAGATAGGCGCTTTCTGCCTACGTGGCAAAATTAATTATGTTCCGATGAAGATTTTGTTGAAATTTAAATTTCGATTGATTTTTTAGAAAAAAAATTTCAAATCCAGTATGAATTTGAAAATTTTAAAAGTTCGTAATAATTGTGATAGTTATCTCATAATTTTGTATTATCATTTTATAAAATAAATATATTATATAATTCATGAGAATCATATATAACTTCGGACAACAAACTCAACTAAAATCAAGTTTGAAATTAAGAACCGATCTAATCCTCAACATTATTACGAGACTCTTTGGTTTGAAACATAAGGAAACGCAACTTTTGTTCGTCCGGAAGAGCTAGAAACACACCCCACATTATCTCATTTGTCGCTATCAGATTCAGAGAAGCCCAATAGAGAGGACTCATGGGTACCAAATCAGGTGTAGCCATAATCGTATTCATAACATTGACCATGCGTTCTTCAATTGAAGGCCCTTGTTGTACTTGCATTTCATACCTCGATATCAATCGCTCCAAGTACACATTGCGCTCTTCCATGATCCTAGCAATACGTTTGAGCGTGGTCTCCATGAGTGTGCGCTTGCGCTTTTTCTTTTGACTCACGTTCAGATTTGTTCCAAAAGATGATCGAATAGATGTCTCTGCATTATGTGACATGTGTGAAGAATTTGACATCTCCGATCTTGATTGTTCCTCATGTATATCAGTGTGAAGACAAAATCCTAATCGACAGAAGAAGAGAATGAGTTATAGATAAGATCGGGATTCACAGGAAAAAGAGGATGAAGAGAGATTTAGTTATTTTTTTAAATTTTTAGTAAAAATATTTTGGCCTTTTAATTAAAAGGCTTGAAAACGCTATCGAAATGCACAAAAAATGCAGGGTTTTGATTTTTAAAGTTTGTTTGCGATTGCGTTTATCATCAATTTAACCATTCAGTTTCGCAACCTTCACCACCCGTCTGAAATCGCAACCGTTCCGGTTACGGATGACAACGATGCATTTCGATCCAGAGCCAACTAAAAAAAGAAAGCATTTTCAAACGAATAAAGTGTAGAACAATTAAATATGTGCCACAAAAACAGAGGCTTATAATCAATGAGAGGGTTGATATTATATCTGTACACAAACTATGAAGCTTCAGACACGGTTCTTGTTGTCTGAGATTTATTTATAGTTTCCATTTTTATGGGCATACATGTGTAAAAATATATTCATGTTTGTCCTCCCAAACAAAGACATTTAACAATATATATTGCATCGACAGCATGTAACACCGGAGAGGAGTTTGCAAGGGCATTTTGAGATTCATAATTCTACCTTGTACGGAATCAAGATGACGGGAAAAAATAACACTAATAGTGGTTTAAAATAGATTTTGAATACCCAATTTTTCATTTCTATTTATATAATATATAATCTTATCCAAATCAAATTCTACATCAGAAAACAAAATTGATAAGTTTCCGTAACGGTCCAAATCCCACTCTCGCTGGTTCTTCAGATCCAACAACTATGCTATCAGATCTTATCACCCACGAAACACGAATAAGAAAATACTTTGATTTGGAAAAAAGAAGCCATTTTCATTTTCCATATCAAATGCACGAGATATATCCATGAACTCCAAGCAAAGACCCAGGTGAAGGAATCATCAAAGTGAACAGAGATCGATGCTGATTATAAGGAAGCCTAAACCTTGTTATTGATGGTAGCCAAATCCAAACTCCAAACTCAAACGATCCCAAAACCACAGACTCAAACCCCACACATATTGTAGGATCCATTAACATAGAAGATAAAAAAAACACAACTAAAAACAAAGTGACAGAGCTACCATCGTTATACGATCAAGGTAAATTTTCGAGATCTAGGAAAGCTGACCGCAGTCGGCGATCACCACGCGCTTCGCTGTCTTCCCGGACTGAGATCCGACGCCCTCGATGCCCTTCACCACATCCAAACCCTCGACAACTTGTCCGAACACCACGTGCTTCCCGTCGAGCCACGACGTCTGCGCCGTGCAGATGAAGAACTGAGATCCGTTGGTGTTCGGACCAGCGTTCGCCATGGACAGGATCCCAGGGCCGGTGTGCTTCTTGATGAAGTTCTCGTCCTTGAACTTGGCGCCGTAGATTGATTCGCCGCCGGTGCCATTTCCGGCGGTGAAATCGCCTCCCTGGCACATGAATCCGGGGATCACCCGGTGGAAGGTGGATCCCTTGTAGTGCAGAGGCTTGCCCATCCTCCCCACGCCTTTCTCGCCGGTGCAGAGGGCGCGGAAATTCTCCGCGGTCTCCGGCGTTGTGTCGGCGAAGAGCTCCATCACGATCCGACCAGCAGGCGCGCCGCCGACGGCCATGTCGAAGAAAACCCTAGGATTCGGCATTTTCCAGAGATCGATCGAGGAAAATATCGGGGAGATTTGGGAAATGTTGCTGGCGTTAGGGTTTAGGGGCTCGCTGCAGAAGGTTCATATAGGGATGACCCAAGCGGTGAGTATTAAAAGGAAAGTTGTAACTGACCGTTGATTGAGGACACGTGTAAGGCTGTAGGAGCGTAACAATTAACCGTGGTTAGTTAGAACTTGACCACGGTTAAAGGTTGCGGGGATCCGACGCTGCACTTATTTATTTTTCCTCGATTAAAAAAAAGCCGTGTCGAGAGGCCCAAGGACTCCGCACACTAGGCTCAAGTAGAATTGGGCCGAAAACAGTATCGTTTGGACTTGCAATTTATTTTATTTTATTTAATATTTACCACGATGGTTCATTTGATGACCATTCCATGTATACGTTGTTAGAAATATGAGATATAAAAAGAAGAACAATAACAGAAAAGTAAATAGGAACCGGATAACTCTTCAAGACGTGATACACTTTTCTAAAAACGTTATTCCGTCCTATACGAGCAAAGGACTTTCCGGAATACGTCTTTGAGATACAATGAAGAGAGAAGTGATCTTAGTTTGCTCTACTAAGAACACAAACACAAGAAATTGCAAGAAGAAGATGAACAAAAGGCTTTTGTGGGTGTTTTGCAAGAACAACCACCAAAGTGCTCTCAAATCTCTCAAAAACAATTTAGATCTGTTCTATCTCGTGTTAGGATGTCCAGGGATGTTAATAAACACTCCAAATGTCGAAAGGTGTGAAGAAATCGGAAGTTTTTCTCGAACGGTCACGATTTTTCGCTCAATCCGAACTGCTCAGAAAAAACGGGCTGCCCGCCCGTTTTGTCGAGCTACCCGCCCGTTTATTTCCGAATTGCTCAGAAAAAACAGGCTGCCCTCCCGGTTTTTCCGAGCTACCGCCCATTTATTTATGAGCTTTATTCCTCAGAAAAAACAGGCTGTCATCTCATATTTTCGAGCTGCCCTCCCACTTTTTCTGAGATTACCTTTCACGTTCAAAACCGAACGTAAACTCTTTCGACGTATCCCTAACACTTAGCCAATTCATACCACGTCTTTTACAAGCATTTAACTCCTCCACCATACTTGTAATACACGTTAAACATGAATCCTTTTGAGAGATTCTAAATTCCCATTCATTTACTCTAAAAATCCCAACATACGTAAAATAATGCTATAAGCACAACAAGGGCGATGAAACAAACTATCTCGTTTAGAGTTTGCGTTTGCACAGCCGTTGTGATTACATCCCAACATACTCCGTTTGCGTTTGCGTTTGCGTTAAACATGATCAAGCCACATTGACGTGCAAGACTCGGTTCCATTGAAAGCTCGAACCAATATATCACGAGGGAACCGAGGAAAAGAGAACAGCATGCTTCTAATAAAGCAAACGAGTGGTCCCCACTAAGATAATTTAAACGCACGATTTTGTAGTTTAGGAAAAAGATACGAGTCTATCTGTCTCCCCCGAACACGACCGTACACGTGGACAACCACACACAAAAAAAACTTTTGTCACTGAAAATTATTATTTTCATTCAACTTGTCGAAATTTCCCGTATCTAAATTCGGGGTTTTTCTAAAATTTTATTCGCAAATATTTTTGTCACTCATAAATACAGTTCTAATTTTTCTTAATTTTACTACAAAATATAATATTAAAAAATGTAAATGAATTATATAAATCTTGATTTGTATATTATATTCTCTAAAATTATGTAACGCTATATAAAATTAATTAATATAACACAAATATTAATATACATATATATTAAATTTAATAGACAAGACTTTATCTAAGCAATATAATTAACATGATTGACTGTACACACACATAGATATATGTGTGTGTGTCCAAACGTAAAAAAATTCATACCCAAAAAAAAAGTAAAAAAGTTAATAAAAACTCAAATGTTAGGAAACAGTAAAAATCTTATAGACAGGTAACGAGACTCGACCAGAAATAAGAGAATATATATATGTATAAGTAAATAAAAAATAAAAATTGGAAATTCTAACTCCGAACTCCAAAGCAAGCGCGGCACCGTGCAATCATGCATGATCACCTTCCGTGAATATCTAAAGTCACTGTGCTTCGTTGTTTTGAATCCGTCACAGTCAATCTCTGTCCGTCCACGTGGACGTGGCCCCCACACTCCTACCTGCTCTGCCTCCTTCACGATCTTCTCGTTTTTAAGCCTAGACCTCCTCCTCCTCCTCAATGATCATCACTCGGAGAGAGAGAGAGAGTAGACATTCTTGAGGTTTGAATCCCAGCCAAGCTTGTCCGGTTCATCTTCTTCGTCTCGCTTGGATTTGGATTATCGAGTTTTGGAGGTTCGTGATCTGTTTACGCTTTTGTCGTGATTTGAGCATTTGCGCTCGATGGAGGTTTTATTTGCTTAGTTCATCTGATTTCGCGAAGCATTTTCATGTTTGACTCGGTTGAGATTTTCGTCTGTGATCTGTACGTGTTCGTGATAAATCTGAATCGATATTGCTCTTATTTAGATATTTAGATTGCCCAAAAAATTCTCCTGTTTGGCTTTTTTTTTTTGGATTACGAACTAAGCGACGGTTTCGGGGTGTTGGGAGGTTTCTGCTTCGTTGTCTGTACGTTGTTTTCATGGAAAACGTTTTGGATCCTTCTATTGTTGTCCGGGAATTCTCTGAAAAATGCCCATTTGGACCTTAACGAGATGCTTGCATTCCGGCTAAATATGCAAGAATCAGCTTCTCAGAAACTGCGGAACATTTTGCTCATTCACTATTCTGATCCTCTATTTATCGGGTGACGTATCAAAAGCCTTGTTATGCAGCGTGGATGTGTTGCGGTAAATGGGTCTGATCCTTTTATGGAAATGCAGGGTATGATATTTGGATTGTGTGTTGATATTTGAATGAATCTGGAGCAATGTCGACTCCGAATGCTGATGTAAATCTGAATGGAGGTGTGGTGAATGGTGGTGATTCATCGTTTAAGGTGGAGGAAGTCGACGAAATCGATTTCTCAAAGATATTAGAGAAGCCGAGGCCTTTGAACATCGAGAGACTAGGGTCACTTGATGAAAGATCTCTTACGGAGTTATCTGCTTTGTCGCCTCATCTAAGAAATGCAGATAGTGCTTCCCGGATTTTTGAACACACAGATTTCGTGTATTCACCAAGCATCGGTAGGAGGTCCGGATTTAATACCCCGAGGTCGCAGCATGGGTTTGAGGCTCATCCCATGGTGGGTGAGGCCTGGGATGCTTTGAGGCGCTCCTTGGTTCGCTTTCGTGGTCAACCTGTTGGGACAATTGCTGCATTGGATAGTTCCGAAGAAAAGCTCAACTACGATCAGGTGGAAATATTCGTGTTTGTAACAAAAGTTTCTTATGAATTGCATTTATTTTAGAGTTCTGATGTTTGATTGATCTAAATCTTTGTGTGTGTTTCCGCTCTGCAGGTGTTTGTGAGAGACTTTGTACCTAGTGCATTAGCATTCCTGATGAACGGAGAGCCAGAGATTGTCAAAAACTTCATCTTGAAGATTCTTCGGCTTCAGTCATGGGAGAAAAAGATCGATAGATTCCAACTTGGTGAGGGAGTGATGCCTGCTAGCTTCAAAGTTTTCCACGATCCTATCAGAAATCACGAGACACTGATTGCTGATTTTGGCGAGAGCGCAATCGGAAGAGTAGCGCCTGTGGATTCAGGATTCTGGTGGATTATACTGCTCCGAGCCTACACAAAGTCTACAGGAGACTCTTCTCTGGCCGACATGCCTGAATGCCAGAAGGGTATTCGGCTTATTCTAAGCTTGTGTCTTTCAGAAGGGTTTGATACATTTCCCACTCTTCTGTGTGCTGATGGTTGCTGCATGATTGATCGTAGAAGTCCACAGGAGACTCTTCTCTAGCTGACATGCCTGAATGCCAAAAGGGCATACGATTGATACTAAGCTTGTGTCTTTCTGAGGGTTTTGATACGTTTCCCACTCTTCTATGTGCCGATGGTTGCTGCATGATTGATCGTAGAATGGTGAGAAGGGTTATCGTTTTTTCCATTTGGTTCGTCCTACAAGTTACTGGTATGAGCAGACATTTACTTCAAATCTCTTGTTCTTATCCATGTATGTTGTCTGTTCTTTCAGGGGGTTTATGGTTACCCAATAGAAATTCAAGCTCTTTTCTTCATGTCCTTAAGATGTGCCTTGCTCCTGCTTAAGCAAGACGGTGAAGGGAAGGAAATGGTGGAACAGATAGTTAAGCGCCTTCATGCGTTGAGCTACCACATGAGGAGCTATTTTTGGCTGGACTTGAAGCAGCTAAATGACATATACCGATACAAGACAGAGGAGTACTCTCATACCGCAGTCAACAAGTTCAACGTCATGCCCGATTCTCTTCCAGAATGGGTTTTCGACTTCATGCCCCCTCATGGCGGATATTTCATCGGAAATGTAAGCCCTGCAAGGATGGACTTCCGTTGGTTTGCCTTGGGAAATTGCATCGCAATACTGTCTTCCTTGGCTACTCCTGAACAGTCGACGGCGATTATGGATCTTATAGAATCTCGCTGGGAAGAGCTGGTGGGGGAAATGCCGCTGAAGGTATGTTATCCAGCAATTGAAAGCCACGAATGGAGAATAGTAACAGGATGTGACCCGAAAAACACCCGATGGAGCTACCACAATGGGGGATCATGGCCAGGTAATATTTCTAGTTGCAATCTTTCAAGAGATATTGTTCAAGTCTTTTAACTTTTTGTATTTCAGACACACCCTTGTGGATCAACAACCTTCAGATTCTTCGATTCTCTGACATTTTTTATACAATTTTGACCGGTACAGTGCTTCTATGGCTTCTTACGGCGGCTTGCATTAAGACCGGACGGCCACAAATAGCGAGACGAGCAATCGAAGTAGCGGAGCAAAGGCTGCACAAGGACAGCTGGCCAGAGTACTATGACGGGAAACTGGGCCGATACATCGGGAAACAGTCACGGAAGCTACAGACGTGGTCAGTGGCCGGCTACTTGGTGGCAAAGATGATGCTGGAAGACCCTTCTCATGTAGGTATGGTTGCTCTCGAGGAAGACAAACAGATGAAGCCCTTGATGAAAAGATCCAACTCCTGGACATGCTGACTCCCTTTTGTGCTTAGGCTATATGATCTTCCTTAGGGTATGTTTAGGAAGATCGCAACTAGATTTCAGCCTTGTGCTGCAAGTTAGGGTTTTAGCCTGAAAGGTGGCAAGAAACAGAACCAGAAACCAAACCCAACACGTCGTTTTTCTGTTCAGATTTCGAGCCCAGGACTTGTGGTTGTAGTCCTTTGGTGTTAAAGCCTGTAATTCGCGTCAAATCATCGGAAGTTGTCCCCTTGTGAAAGTGGAAGCTGGTGTTTTTTTTCCTAAACTAATTGAAATCGAATCAAATTATTCGATGGTTTGCATTCTCCCATCAACCCATAAAAATTTTAAAATCAAATTCTTGAATATTGGCATTCAAATTTTTGGAACCAAAAAACGAAACTGAATTTACCGTATTACTCACGCTAAAGAGGTTTGGCAATCCAATAGAACACTGTTCAAACCTCACACAACCACCATGGTAGAGGTCCGGCAAGAAAAGATTGAAGAAGAAGAAGAAGTTACGAGAAAACAGGGGGAATTCCTCTGTCTTTGATGGCCGAGCTCATGTAACGACTTTCACCAACTGGGAAATGACTCTTTTGCCCTCTCCCAAACTTCACCGTTTTTCACTGTCCTTAAATTTCTTCAAGCAAAAACGCAGCGTTTCGGTCTGTCTTTGTTTGACTTCCAATTCAAACGGAAGACTCTAACCGAAATAGAGACTCCACAGTATAACCAGCAGGCAGCAGCCAGCCACATTCTCAACATACATACATACATATATGTGTATAATATATTATAAATAGGCGAAAAGGGCCTCAAAAGACAAAAACAGGCTTTCGGCCCTTAGTCTGCGGCCGAAAGGCAACAAGTGGGCTGAGCTTTGTCCTGTAATACTGCACAATCATTAATTGTTAAAATAATTAGGATTTTATTTATAGAAAAAAAAGTTTGTTCTTTCTTTTTACGTTTCGTCTACGTGTAAATTTTTTATTTCATAAAATATCTTTTGCATTAATTTTTCGTCTCTTGGATCCCTTCTGTAATTTATATCTATTTTATATTTATGGTATTTTTTGTTATGCCTATAAATATGACTGTTACAGATTCCTGTGAATGTATTTTTTTATTAGAAATAAATATTTTACCTCTTCCATAGATTCGTAGTGTTTTAGTATTTTTCTGTTAAATATTTTTAATATCTTAATTTTACCAATTTATTTGTGATCTGCCTTTAAATATACTATCATTACAAAGACACAATATATTAACTAAATTATTATTTTTTCATTCTTCGGATTTATACAATAAAAATAATTTCTATTAAAATTTAAAAATTTTCCACAGCACACAAACTTCTCTTATTATCTACAAAAGGAAATTTGGTGTGGTCCGGTCCACACATGCTAGTTGGAATAAAAACAAAATTAGAGATACTTAGGAATATTGAAAAGGGAAATAAAAGAAAAATAAAAAAGCAAAAAAGATTCGATTACGGATGAGGGTGATGCTGTCACCGTCACCGAGCTGTGACACAGTCATAACCCTTCACCACTTGGCTCCTCTATTTTCATTTTCGTTTTTCAGCGTCGAAAAATAAAAATACCTAAGAGCCAATTTGCTTCTCAAGCCACCACCATCATTCATCCATGGCGGCTTCTACTCTATCTTCCTCTTCTCTCTCCCTAAACCCTAACAACAAGTTCTGCCACACCCATCTCCCTATTCATCTCCGAAAACCGTTCCTTAAACCCTCCTCTGTCTCTCTTCTCCCAGCCAATCTCTCTTCATCTCCTTCCCCCGGTGCTTATGGAGTTTCTCCGTGTTTCTCGCACGCGAGTGAGAGATTTTCAGCGGAAAATGAATACCCAGTTGATATTTTTGCTGATGATGATGACGAAAAACCCCGCGAGGAGTGCGGCGTCGTAGGAATCTATGGCGACCCGGAGGCCTCGCGGCTCTGTTACTTGGCTCTCCACGCGCTTCAGCATCGTGGGCAGGAAGGGGCAGGTATTGTAGCCGTGAACAACGATAGGGTTCTTCAATCTATTACCGGTGTTGGGTTGGTTTCCGAAGTTTTCAATGAGTCCAAACTCGACCAGTTGCCTGGAGACATGGCGATTGGTCATGTCCGGTACTCGACGGCCGGTTCTTCGATGCTGAAGAACGTTCAGCCGTTCGTCGCTGGCTATCGGTTTGGGTCAGTAGGCGTTGCCCACAACGGGAATTTAGTGAATTACAAGAAATTGAGAGCCACGCTCGAGGAAAACGGTTCGATTTTCAATACTAGTTCTGATACTGAAGTTGTGCTTCATTTGATTGCGATTTCTAAAGCCAGACCCTTTTTCATGAGGATTGTTGATGCGTGTGAGAAGCTTCAGGGTGCGTATTCTATGGTGTTTGTGACTGAGGATAAGCTCGTCGCTGTTCGTGACCCGTTTGGGTTTAGGCCATTGGTGATGGGTAGGAGAAGCAACGGAGCGATAGTTTTCGCTTCAGAGACTTGTGCTCTCGACTTGATCGAGGCAACGTACGAGAGAGAGGTTTATCCAGGTGAGGTTATGGTTGTGGATAAGGACGGTGTGAAATCTCAGTGTCTAATGCCTCACCCCGAGCCAAAACAGTGCATTTTCGAGCATATCTACTTCTCGTTACCAAACTCCATAGTGTTTGGCCGGTCTGTGTACGAATCTCGTCGCATATTCGGCGAGATATTAGCCACAGAATCTCCCGTTGATTGCGATGTCGTGATTGCTGTGCCCGACTCTGGTGTGGTGGCTGCTCTGGGGTACGCAGCCAAAGCTGGAGTTGCCTTTCAGCAAGGTCTGATAAGGTCACACTATGTGGGCAGAACCTTCATCGAGCCATCGCAGAGAATCAGGGATTTCGGTGTGAAGCTAAAGCTGTCGCCCGTCCGTGGAGTATTGGAAGGGAAGAAGGTGGTAGTGGTGGATGATTCGATCGTGAGGGGGACAACCTCGTCCAAGATTGTCCGTCTCTTGAGAGAAGCGGGCGCCAAAGAGGTGCATATGAGGATAGCAAGCCCTCCTATCGTGGCTTCGTGTTACTATGGCGTGGACACTCCTAGCTCGGAGGAACTGATATCGAACAGGATGAGTACCGATGAGATTAGGGATTTCATCGGGTGTGACTCTCTCGCCTTCTTGTCGTTCGATAGCTTGAAGAGGTTCTTAGGGGAAGAGTCTAGGAGTTTCTGCTACGCTTGCTTCACTGGGAATTATCCGGTGAAGCCAACGGAGGTTAAGGTGAAAAGGGGAGGAGATTTTATCGACGATGGTCTCACCGGAGGTATTGACGCCATTGATGGAGGTTGGGTTAGATAGCTGAAGCTTCATTTGCAGAGAACAACAGGACAAGTTTTTATGTGGTAATAATGGAGGGAAAGATTGCTTCTTGGCCTTATTGCAATATTTGTTGTTCTTCCTCGGATGGGAGATGGAGTTTTTAACTTAACTGTCTTGTCCGAGACATGCAAGATTTTGTGTTCTTTTTTTTTTTTTTTTACCTCATTTAGAACTCGTTTTTCCTTTGTTTCATTGTCATTTAAGAGAGAGAGAGAGAGAGATTTAAGCTCTAAAACTGGAAATCCATGTTTGAGACATGTCTCTTGTTCCCTCCAGGCTCCATCTAAATAACTGAATATTCCCATTGTGAGTTCTTTGGGGAAAAAAGTCCCCTTGCAGTATCTTGAATTCTCCTGTTATGGCGTTACGTGTACAATTTTCACCTTGATATATAAAATCGGATAGAGTTAAATCTCATTCAATCGATTAGTTATAATTTTAATTAATTAAACTAGAGGAGTTATATAATAAAAAAAAATAGCTTTTTTGGGAAAAAAAATATTTGTCATTAAAAATATAGGGAGAAAACGAAATATTATTATGTTTGGGTAGATGGGCTTTAATCACACCAAACAAATAACAAATTGTAGTGGTGTAAGGCCCAGCCCGGTTGCTCTTAACAAGTGCAGAGAGAGGAATCCCACATCGACCGAGGGGAGGGGATGTGAGAGGGAGCGTGGAAATAAAAGGGAAGCGGAGGCGACGTTGCAAATCATACCTTTCTCGGCCTTTTGGCTAAGATCAAGTGTAGTATCTGTTCTTATCAGTTTAATATCTGATACGTGGGCCATTGGCCCACAACGATATTAACTCTATTTTTTAAGGGGGTGGGTCCGTCACGGTAGCTTGCTACCGGGGCCCACGAGCGTCGCCCACGCGTTGCACTACAGCGAGGGCCTGGCGTACCCCGCCCAATTCCCTAGTTTTAAGTTTAAAATTTGAATATTTATTTGTTTTTTTAGTTGACAATATTATAAATTACGAAAAAGTCAAATGAGAACTAACTTATTAATAACAAGTTCAGAGGCCTGTCCTATATACTCGTATGACCGAAGTTTATTTTCTTCGGCTTTCGCTAACGTATAACCGTTAAATCGAATGTAACTGTTTCACCTTATATCACACCTTATATCGGGATGTGGTTTTCGCAGTTTTTGCATTAATTAGGATTAATTAATCCAAAAACTGCGAAAACCAACAATCAAGTTTTTTAAATTTTGGTTTTATATCACTAATGGGAGGTGGTTTTCGCAGTTTTTGGCCAAAAACTGAAAAAACCAACAATCAAAAGTTTTTTAAATTTTGGTTTTCCTAAAAACCCGGAAATCTACTTTATGAAAAAAAATCAACTAAAAACCAAAAGCTACAATTTTTTAGATTTACAAACTTATAAAATCCAAAAGCCAAAAACCCAAAAAATAAAAACTAAAAACCAAAAACTAAAACCAAAAACCCAAAATAAAAGACACTACCATTCAAAGCCTAATTAATATACAATATATTAAATCTAATTATAAAAATTAAATCTAATTATAAAAATTAATATAATGAGATATTGTTTTATGACTATAGTATATAACTAATTGAGTTATATAATTTTTTTTAATTTAATCATTATTTTATTATTTTTAATTTATTTCATTATTATTTTAAAATTTTGTCCTATATAAACATTAGAAAAAGATAAAGTTTATTTAAAATTTTTTATATTAATATTTTTACGGTAAAACAAATTATGACATAAATTTAGATTTTATTGTTTTATATGTTAAGATGATTATGATAGTATTTTATATTATATCTTGTTTGAATATTTTTTATTATAAACGTTTCAAAACTTTTTAAATATTATAATCGAAACGAATCGAATCGAATCTTTATTTGATTATAATTGTAAGTATAAAAAAGCGAACCGAACCAAAATGAAACCGAACTAAATCGAACTGAATAAAATTAAATAACAGTTTGGTTATTAATTTTCAAAACCCAAAATACCCAAACCTAAATGACCGATTAATCCGAAAGGAACGTTCGCCCACCCTAACTGTAGGGCTTAAAGATTAAAAAATTAAATCGGGACCATACAAGCAAAGCTCCAATTTGATATATTCAGTTGTTTCTACTTTTAAAAAATAAGATTTGTTTTTGATACTATCCCGGAGAATATGCGTGCCGTTTTTCCCTTCACATACTAAATTTTGTTGTTACAACACTAAGCAAAAGCCTCAATGTTATTGGTAATACTTGAGTCGTTTGCCTTTGACCGCAAAGTAGTATCCGGAAAGATGATAATAAATTGGGCCGAATTAAGATCTGTTATTTGGGTTCGGCCTAAGCTGTCTTGTCCGAAGATTTTTTTTTTTTTTTGCCTCATTTAGAAGAAGTTTTTTTTTTTTTGTTTCATTGTCATTTATGAGAGAGAGAGAGAGGGAGAGAGAAGGAGAGAGATTTAATCTCTGAAACTGGAAAACTATGTTTCAGACACCCTCCATCTTAATGTCTGAATATTACCATTGTGAGTGCTTTGGGGGGAAAAATAGTCTCCTTGCAAATATCTTGAATTCTCCCATTATGGCATTACGTGTAATTTTTTCATCTTGATATATAAAATCGGATAGAGTTAGATCTCATCAATCAATCGATTAGATATAATTTTAATTAATTAAATTACAGGAGCTATATAATAAAAAATAGACAAAACAAACGTTTTTTAAAAAAAAATTTATTTGTTATAAAAAAATGTGTTGGAAAAAACGAAGTAACATTATTTGGTTGGTAGGTGGGCTTTTTTAACCCCACCAAAAAAATAATAAATTGTAGTGTGTGGTTTAAGGCCCAGCCCAGTTGCTCTTAATAAGGAGGTGTAGGAGAGAGAGGAATCCCACATCGACGGGGATAAGAGGCATAGAAGAGGGAGCGTGGAAATAAAAGGGCAGCGGAGGCGACGTTACAAAGCATACCTTTCTCGGCCTTTTGGCTAAGATCAAGTGTAGTATCTGTTCTTATCAGTTTAATATCTGATACGTGGGCCATTGGCCCACAACGATATTAACTCTATTTTTTGAGGGGGTGGGTCCACTACGGTAGCTTGCTGCTGGGGCTCACGAGCGTCGCCCACGCGTTGCACTACAGCGAGGGCCTGGCGCACCCCGCCCAATGCTAAAATATCAATTTTATCTCCGAAGGAAATTAGAAAATGAAAAAAATATAATATATATAAATTAGTAATAGCATTGTTAATTCAGAAATTTCTGCTTTTGTGAAAACATGATTCAATTTTTATATCTCCAAAGTTTGGTGACGACACGTCGAAACCAAGCAAAGTGTCAACTTCCAATCTCGAGGAAAATTTGTTTTGCCGTTTGCGTTATAGCGTTTGCGTTTGACCGCAAAATAATATCAGAAAAGACCATAATGAATTGGGCCGGGTTAGATCTGCTATTTGGGCTCGGCTCGAAAGAGGGGACGCGTTCGTCACTGTTATAGGACAAGCTTCGTTGTTCGTTTCCACTCCTCCCATTATTTCCCCCCGACAACAATCCGTCTCTCTCTCTCTCTCTCCATATTCCTGCGTTCCCGTATCAGATCCGAGAGGCGTTCCGACATGTCTTCGTTCAGCGGCGATGAGACAGCACCGTTCTTCGGCTTCCTTGGCGCTGCAGCCGCGCTCGTCTTCTCCTGTAATCGATTATCTTTACTCGCATTTGATTTTTTTCATATTCGAAATTTTGTGTATTTCTTTGTTGGGTCTGCTTGATCTGATCGTGAAATTGGTTTCCTTCCTGAAAAATTACTAAGATTCCTTCGACTGTTTGGAGATAACAGAGTGTATCGCAAAAGTTTTGTGGACTTGGCTAGATTTGTGATGCTTATGGAGTTGCAGTGTTTTGTTTTAGATCATTTTCCTGATTGATTGAGAAATGGGTCTTTTAGATTCGATCTAGATCCAGATGATTACTTGGTTTGATAGAGGTCGTGTTGCCTGGGGACCATCTGATCGGACAATGCTTTTGAAGCTTAATCGATAGCAGCGTGGTAGGATTCACATCTGGACATTGATCTGATACACATTTACACGAAATAGTTTTAGATCTTATTTTACATTCCCTGAAAATTTGAGCGGTTTCGGCTCTTTCATCGGTCTTCCAGAAAGTATTTTGATCGGTTTAGTACTTTCGAATTTGTGTGGGCATTGATCCATTGAACAGTTTCTCGTGTTTCCTGTGGAACCTTGACATGAATGTGATTTGGATGAATGTTATGGGATGTTTAGGCATGGGAGCAGCCTATGGAACAGCAAAGAGTGGTGTAGGCGTGGCTTCAATGGGAGTGATGAGGCCTGAATTGGTCATGAAATCGATTGTGCCGGTGGTTATGGCTGGTGTTTTGGGTATTTATGGACTGATCATTGCAGTTATCATCAGTACCGGAATCAACCCAAAGGCTAAATCTTACTACCTCTTCGACGGCTATGCACACCTCTCCTCTGGTCTTGCCTGTGGTCTTGCTGGTCTTTCAGCCGGAATGGCCATCGGCATTGTGGGTGATGCTGGTGTCAGGTTTGTTTCCTTCTTGGTGATCATTCAGAGAAAAATCTGTTTACTTTCCATTGTTGCACTATGAGAATCTACAGTTTTTACATGAGGTGTATATGGGCATGTCATCATGTGCAAGCCCCAATGTTTTTGGATTGAGGTGATAGATAATGTACAATGCAACATGAAAAAGATCGTTGTTATTGTTTGCAGGGCAAATGCACAACAGCCTAAACTCTTCGTCGGGATGATTCTTATCCTCATCTTTGCGGAAGCGTTGGCTCTTTACGGCCTTATCGTGGGCATCATCTTGTCGTCTCGAGCTGGCCAGTCTAGGGCTGACTAAGGAAGGGCCCGAGACTCGAGACTTTATTGGATCATTGTTTCGGAAGCAGACCTCTGCCCTTTTGGTGGTTTGCTCCATTGTAGGATTTTGAGGTTTGGTCGGTAATAAAAAAAAAGTTTGTGGCTAAAGCTTAGCTTTGTTTTGTATTTTCTTGTATTTGTTTGTTCGCATATGTCATGAGGAACATAAAAAAAAAAACATTTATTTTGTAAAGAAAGTTTGCTTCTGAACTGAAACCATTTGAGTGTTATGGGATTAATCTGATGTTGTTCTTTTTTTCGGATTGAAAGTTAGCTTGGAGATTGTTCTTCATGAAATCCAAAATTGAAAATAATCAGATACAGATCCGATTTGTTTCATCTCTTTATTTATTTTATTTATTTTTGAAATCCGAAATTGGAAATAATCAGATACAGATCCAAAATTGAAATCCAAAATTTATTTTATTTTATTTTTTTTCCTTTGGGGTATATTCCAAATCAGTCGACATTTCACATATATTCAAGTATTTAACTTTTACAACAATAATAAATGTTTCATCTCTTTATTTATTTTATTTATTTTTGCTTGGCCCATTATTTTACTATAATAGATACATGGTCCATCTTTCTTACAACAAAACAAGACATGGTCCACGTTGTGCTCCCATGCTCCATGTAAACCTTGTAGCAAATGTGGTTTATTCTAAGGCCCAACCAAGTACATATGCGAAGAAAACTATATAATATACGAGATCATTACAAATAAGATAAATAAATGCATACAACATTTATATGATGTTTTAAGGAATGAATGGGAATATTTGTTCCTATAGGAAAAAAAAGGAACAGTTTTAGAATAGCAAACTAAAATGGAAAAAAAAGCTTATTAACAAATTAAGGGGGATTTATGACGGCCGTTGAGAACAGTGCGTGTACCGTCCGTGTCGAGTAAACGCCGTTTACTGCCGTCAATGCGTTGTCGTTTGTTCGTATATTCTGCGAAATGCGAATGATTTCTAGCATGTCCATTTTTTTTATTAAAAAAAAAAAAGAAACAAGTTAGGGAAAATTTTTTGGAACCATTTAGAGAGAGAAATCTAAAATAAGATATTATCTTCCGACACTTTAGTTTTTATAAGTTTAAATTTAGATTTTCTACCTGATTTTTATTTTTTCAATTAGGTTAAATTTTTATTTAATATTATGATTTTGGATGTAAATATATAATTAATCTTGCTTATTTATTGGACATATCTGAATTCTAGCACGAATATGATAATCCATCATTAACTAATATAAAACAGGTCGCCAAATTGTTTGACTGTGGCTTGGGGATCATAAATCAAGAGATATTTTACTCCACTCAATTTTTTCCACATTTAATGAATGATGAAAGTTTAAAACATATGCATTTTATAGGACGCAGAGTCGGTCCATGTTGCGTGTGGAACTATATTACTAAATGGATATGTATTTTTTAGAAAGTTGGAAATTTATGTTATTTTTTTATATAATTGTTATATTTTCATTTGCTAAAATCTCTCAGAGTCATATTCACTTGATATTGTAGTTATATTAGATTTTTTGTGTGTCATTTTTCACTCACATTATGTAATTATATAGAATTAATCGAGGGATAACAGTTTGTATAAAAATTTCTATCCATCGTATTTATTAAAAATGGGTATATATAATTAGGGCTTTCTTTGTATTATAGGAAACTAGGAATAAATATTTATGATTGTTTAAAATTGAATTCAATAATTAGAGACGTGGAGAACATGCGGCGGGTGCACAATTACGTTTATGAAGTGACCCACATATTTACGAGACCCTCATTTAATCAACACGTGAATCATGTCATTACGATGGATGGGCCTTCGTTATTTTTTTATTTTTATTTTTATTTCGTATATTTTTCCTGTATTTATGTATTCACAAAAAAATGTTACTATATAATTATTCAATGGAATGAAATCTGATCGCAAACATGTCTAGATACAATGAATAGCAAAATCAATCATACATTGTACGGAATAAATTTAAACATCGTAATAGAGATATTATATGTGATACCGTGTTGGACAATTAATAAATTTACGTATTTAACAGAGAAATCAATTATATATATATATATATATATATTGAAAACTAGGATAGTTAATACCTGGTTTTATAATTAACCAAAAATATCAAAATTCTATTTTGAAAACTATTTCACAGATAAAGTAATAATTATTAAACAAACACACAATACTACGTAATATTTATAAAAATGATGTATTGATTTTTATTTAATACATAAAAAGATGTTAAGATGTTTAAAATAATATATATTTGCTTATTTTGAATATATAATTTATATTATATATATTATCAATAACAAAACTCTCAGAACATATGACATAAATACAACTTTTATTAAGCGGGTACATTTAATTGATATTTTTTTTTGTTGATTCAATGTAACGGATATAAATTATATCTTATTTATTCTATTTAAAATTGGAATCCTTTAACTCATAGAAAAGTATTTTTAGGCGTATATATAGTATTGTATTTTTTTTTATAATTCAAAAATTTACCATATATTTAATTCAATTATAATTTCTACAACTGGAGAAGTTCAGATAAATATCCTTTCTATGATTGAAGTTGAATTCGAGATAATAACATATTTTGTATATACTTAAATTTGGATGTTTTAACCGGTTAAACGGGGACAAAGCATCTGTCCCGTCCGAAATTCGAATCTCAAATTTGGGGAGAGAACGTATAATTCAAATCATATGTCTGGCTTCCGATTTCGAAATTAATTTGGACCTTGGTCCAAAATGCCCTATAATCTTAAAAAATATATTTTGTATTTTTTTTTACCACAACACCATCCAAATTTAGTATTGTATTATCTTGGTGGTATCTTAATTTTTTTTTGCCCAAGGCAATCGTTTAATAGAAACTTATAGAGACCAGTAAATAATAATAATTAAAATTCTTCACAATAGCTAACAGCGTCATATTATATATATATATATATATATGTATGCAGTAACATGTATCTATAGAATAATTTTTGTTACAGCTTACAAACCATTTCATACGTTACCATGGTCTACAATTCCAATAATGCACCAATCCATCAATAAACTAAATTTATTGTCGATACCTAAACGCCTGTCCTTCATTATCCTATGTGACGTGAAATTTGCCAAAGTCGTAAACACGTGTTTGTACTGTGGTTGGTGAATAGAGCCAGTAATACCTCAACACGTGGCTTATTCTAAACCGCAAGATCACAAACATCTAGATCTTAAGAACCTTCGCGCTGGTTTCCTAGATCAGAATTTCTCGTATCGGTTAAAATACCGCATAAACGCGAGATATTGATAGATTAACTCGTGGATGAGGGCGGAGCGGCGCGATATGTTATAATATAAAGGAGAAAAAAAAAGAGGAAGAAAAATGCGAATTGAGTAGGGACTGTTCCATCATGTACGACAGCCACGCGGCGGCTCGAAGCCGAATAATCATCACTAGAAGAATCTGAGCCGTCCAAAGGACATAAAAAAAGCATCAACGGTGTAAGAATTTTTAGATATTACTTAAAAAAGTTTTTAAAATTAAATGGGACAACATTTGGTTCAATTCAATCCATAGAACGGTCCGGAAACAATGGCTGAATTATTAATAATATAGGATTTAAAAAATGCATTATATTCTAGAAATAGTTTCTATTCATAATATTAAAATAATAAAATTTAGATTTTTTAGTATTAAAAACTATGTTATGACTTCTTAAAATATCATCCTATTGCATTTTATGTAATTCCTCCGTGTAAAAAAACACACGCTTCAAATGGAATTTAATCTAAAATTCTAAAATAAAAATACAAATCAATTCGATTTTTATTACTCGAAGAATTAAAATTAAAATAATAAAACAGCACATTTTAGACATGGTTTTGTACAAGTTCCCTTTTACACTTAAGTTCCATTTTTTGTTTTTTTGGGGAAAAAAGTTAATAATATATTAAAATGAAAGAATTAAAAAAATTCTGTTGTTAAGCAAATATATATATATATATATACATATATATAGAAACATCAGTCTTGTTATTGTGATTTTTCTTAGATTCGGTCTAATAATTGTTTTGAACCTAAGGGAATTTGGTGGGAAGAAAAATAAAATGTAATGAGAAATTTTCAATAATAGAACGGGCCCCACGGCCCAAATCAAACCTTACCCCAGTCTTCACCTTTAATCTCCTCCCTATATAAAGACGCATCTCCCTTCATGCAACTCTCGCCTTTCACCACCTCCGTGGACGCCTCCCTCACTAGCCCTTCATTTTCCTCCGTTTTCCCGAGAATTCATCGTTTTCCCAGCTCCATTTTCTCATCTTTTTTGTGTTTTTTTTAAAAAAATCAAATCTCTGTATGGTGAGGGGATCTCTCGGGGCGTAGGTTTGATTCGGGATTCAGATTTGGGAGATTTTCCTTTTTGTGGGTTTTAAAAATTTGTTGAGCTTCTCCTGAAGGGTCGGCGTGGGGATTCTCGGGTGGAGTCGGGTCGCCAGAGGGGGTTTTCACGGCGGAGATAGATTCCTCTACTGCTTCTTTTGAGGGGGTAGCCGGGGCTCCGGCCTCGGCGGGTTTCAAAGCCCCCACCTTCACAATCTCTGGAATCTGAGAAATCATTGATCCAGTTTTTTTTTTCAAAATTCTTTGTTTTTTTTTCTTCTGTGTTCGTCGAAAATTTTCTCTCTAAGTAGATTCTGATCGTCGCTGAAGGGGGAAGAGGATGCCAGCCCTGGCTTGCGTAGATGCTGCCGTCGCGCCTCCCGGCTACGCCTTCACCGGGGATAGCTCCCTTCTCACCGGCGGCGTTTTCTTTCCGGCGGAAACTCCCGCCTCTGCCGCCGCCGATGGCTCTTGCCATTGGTCCCCGTCTCTCTCCTCCTCGCTCTACCGGATCGACGGATGGGGCGCTCCGTACTTCACCGTCAACTCCTCCGGTAATATCTCTGTTCGTTCCCATGGCACTGACACCTTGCCTCACCAAGAGATCGATCTGCTGAAGATAGTGAAGAAGGTGACCGATCCGAAATCCTCTGGCGGTCTCGATCTCCAGCTCCCGCTCGTCGTCCGGTTTCCGGACGTCCTGAAGAACCGGCTTCAGTCCCTCCAATCGTCGTTCGATTTTGCGATCCAGTCTCAGGGCTATGAATCTCATTACCAAGGTGTTTATCCGGTGAAATGCAATCAGGATCGGTTCGTCGTGGAGGACATCGTCGAAGTCGGGTCACCGTTTCGCTTCGGGCTTGAAGCCGGGTCGAAACCCGAGATCCTCCTCGCCATGAGCTGTCTGTGCAAAGGTAACCCCGAGGCTTTTCTCATCTGCAATGGATTTAAAGATGCGGAGTACATTTCCTTGGCTCTACTCGGCCAGAAGCTGGCCTTGAACACGGTGATTGTGCTCGAGCAAGAAGAAGAGCTCGATCTGGTTATCGATCTGAGCCAGAAGATGAATGTGAGGCCTGTCATTGGGATACGTGCGAAGCTGAGAACCAAGCACTCGGGTCATTTCGGTTCGACATCTGGTGAGAAGGGCAAATTCGGATTGACCACGACGCAGATTGTTCGGGTCGTGAGGAAGCTCGACCAAATGGGTATGCTCGATTGTCTCCAACTCCTACATTTCCACATTGGATCCCAGATCCCTTCGACGGCGCTTCTCTCCGATGGCGTCTCTGAAGCTGCACAACTTTACTGTGAACTCGTCCGTCTCGGAGCCCATATGCGGGTTATCGACATTGGCGGCGGGTTGGGGATCGACTATGACGGATCAAAGTCGGGCGAATCTGATCTCTCTGTTTCTTACAGCCTTGAGGAGTATGCTTCGGCTGTTGTCTCCGCTGTCCGATTTGTCTGTGACCGGAAATCTGTGACGCACCCTGTTATCTGCAGCGAGAGTGGCAGAGCCATTGTGTCTCATCACTCTGTCTTGATCTTTGAAGCTGTCTCTGCATCTGGATCGGTCGGGCACGGTGTTGACCCGACAGATATAGAGTTCCTGCTCGAAGGTTACTCGGAGGAAGCTCGATCCGATTACCAGAACCTTTATGCGGCCGCCATCCAAGGTGAGTTCGAAAGCTGTCTCCTTTACATGGATCAGCTGAAGCAGAGATGCGTGGAAGGATTCAAAGAAGGTCTGCTCAGTATCGAACAATTAGCTGCTGTTGATGGGTTTTGTGAATGGGTGTTGAAGGCAATCGATTCATCGGATCCGATCCGAACTTACCATGTGAATCTCTCTGTGTTCACATCGATCCCCGATTTCTGGGGAATTGAACAGTTGTTTCCTATAATCCCAATCCATAAGCTCGATCAGAGGCCCGGGACGAGAGGGGTTTTATCGGATTTGACCTGCGACAGCGACGGGAAGATCGACAAGTTTATCGGCGGAGAATCCAGCTTGCCTTTACATGAGCTGGACAACAGCGGCGGGAAGTATTATCTGGGAATGTTCCTGGGTGGGGCTTACGAGGAGGCCCTGGGTGGAGTCCACAACCTGTTCGGAGGGCCGAGCGTGGTTCGAGTCACTCAGAGTGATGGTCCACACAGCTTTGCGGTGACCCGAGCCATGCCTGGTCAGTCCTGCGCGGACGTCCTCCGGGTTATGCAGCACGAGCCCGAGCTCATGTTCCAGACCCTTAAGCACCGAGCCGAGGAGTTCGGTAATAACAACAGCAATGACAATGGAGATTACAATAACGACGACGATGATGACGTGGCTGCTTTGCTGGCACAGTCGTTCCACAACATGCCGTATCTTGTGTCAGCGACCTCGACCTGTTCTCTCACCGCCGCCATTAATAACCTCGGGTTTTACTACTGCGACGAGGATGGCTACAACGCAGTGTTTGAAGCCCCGGCTGCGGCCGGCGGTGAGGACGAGAACTGGTCATACTGCTGCGCTTGAGAGGTGGTGGTGGCGATTTGCGTTTCATCGTATCCCTAGTTTCGTTTTTTTTCTTTTGTTGTTTTTTTTTTTTATTTCAGTTCATGTTCGTGGTCGTAAACCCTAGCCGTTGTTTAAGCCATCGCCATGGAGATGAGGACCCGAATATTTAAATTCGGGTTCTTTATATGTATCCATCGTTTCCATATTTATAAAATAATGTTTTTTTTTTGCATTAAATTGAATGAACTAATTGTAAATTAAATGGATCGTTCCATGTTTGGCCCTCCTTTGTGTCAATAATGAGACGCTGATTTCATTGTGCCATTTTCAAAGTGCTGTTTTGGTCAAAGCGAATGCGACGCGGTTTCAGTTGGGATTTGGACGCATTGATTTGATTATTATTTTTTTAATATTGCTTTCACTCCAAAATAACATCATCCATACTATAATAAAATTGGACCGAACAAATTTTATATTATCAGTTTAACCTAACTTTGGCTGTCCCGATTTTCAAAAGCTTCATTTAAGGAGCAATTAATTTCCTTTTGGATTGAGGGAATCCGGGGAAATCTAAGTGGGTCCCATTTAGGGTTGAACTTGAGGAGAAGAAAGCAAGAGGGGATTTAGGGTTAGGTTTTCTGTTTGGAAATATAAAACGACGACGTTTAGTTAATAATGCGATTTGTGAATTGTTGTTGGTTGGACCACCCAGATTCTGACGATTACAGCAATGTTCAATGATCTCATCTTTCTATATATATTTTGTTTTTCCACCAAAGTGCTGAATCATATAATTTTATAATATATGCTTTTTTTGCGTGTGTGCGTGATTGCATTTGCATGTCGATTTTTTTTTTGGACCCTTTTATTACGTGGAATATTCGGGATATAATTTGTTTGGTTTCAAGGAGGCTCGCTCTTTTTTTTAGTTAATGTTTCCTAAAAAAAATGCACCGATGTATATTATTATAGTTCACAATAATTTAAAAAACACATTATTTACTTGTACTTAGAAAAAATATATTGCAAAATCACATGGTGGATTTTATTAGGCAGGATTCTACCACTATTTTTTTTCCCATTAATAGTTCATAATTCAGGTTATATTTTTCATGATTTCGGTGGATCATTTTCTTTTGTAAAATTTCAAATTTTGGCAATATTTTTATTAGTTTTCATTTTTTTTATAAAATTATCCAATTTAAATTTTATATTGGTTTTCGTTTTATTTCAGATTTTATGATTGTTTTTATACCTAATGTAAATTTGGTTAACACGGTTTAACAGGACATATTTGGTCGCCGTTCATTAACTTTAATTTATATATAATTATGTTTTATTATATTTGATTATGTTTAGTCCAATCGAAATATCATGAAAAGGAGATATATAGGTAAAAGTATCCAGACTCATTGAAAAAAAAAATTAACATTTGCTTTGAATGCAAGGATGCCGGAATCGACTTTTTTTGTGAACAAGTTGAGTACCTTTTGAAATGGTCCTAATTCATAAAGATACCAACATTTGCAAGGACCATATATATATATATATTATTTAGAATATTATTTTATCAAATTTAAATTAAGGTATTTATTGACATATTTTTTTAGGTATTTATACATAGTTTTCCCTATTTTATATTATATTATTTTTTTGTTAAAGCGTATATTATATTATATTATATTATTGTCATGCCCTTTTGTCATGTCTGCTTCTTTTTTTTTTTTTTAAGAAAAAGGATAAATAAAGAAAGATGATGGTAGAGAAAAAGGGCTTGTTGAGCATTTTGGATGATTTGAACGTAAATCAATTGAATCAAATAAGAACATTTGTTTTGTAAATCCAATCAAACAGAAAAAATTTTAAAAAACCAAATTAATCGAATTTAAATTAAATATAAAAATTAAAAAAATTCATATCAATGTTCTTTTAATTTGTTTATTAAAAATCAAATAAAAAGAAATAAAACAATATTTTTTTTTATAAAATCAAAATAATTGAATCTAAATATAATAGAAATGATATATTACTCATATCTGAGATATACCTCTCTAATAATAGATTCGCCGACCCTCTCTCTCGGTATTCATCGAATATCGTTATTCCCTTTTTCTTCTTATTCCTCTTCATCTTCCTTTATGTAAAGGATTGGATTGGGCTTGGGTTTTCAAATTTCAGACCAGGCCTATCTGAAGAAGGCTCAAATTAATACATAAAGCCCAATAAGTTGCTAAATGGGCCGCCTTCAATTAAAGAAGAAAGAACAGTTTCTAGCCGAAATAAAAGGGATTCATTTTACCAAATTTCTGAAGAAAAAAACACTAATTTTTTCTTAAAAAATAATTAGCTTACAATTATTTCATTCATCATTCACACACACTTCAAGTTGTAAAAGAACACTTGGATTTCAGGGGGAAAAAAACTTCATCGAATTGCAGAATAAAAAAAATCCTAAATAAAAATTTAATTTCCGTTGCCGGGAATCGAACCCGGGTCTCTCGGGTGAGAGCCGAGTATCCTAACCGACTAGACTACAACGGAGAGTTGCCGAGCTTTATGTTAATTTTGTAAACAAAACTGTGAACCGTTACTTCAACCATTTGATGACTTGCACCAAAAAAAAGGAAAAGAGTTTCCCCGCAAAACCCTAAGGCTTCGCTTCAGATCCCTAGTGTTTTCTTTGTTTGTTTTCAATTTCTGTCCTCGCCATTTCTCCCTCTAATTTATGGGCGGTTTTCATGGATACCGACTCGGCGAGAGCTTCGATGGAGTCGGTGCAGGGGTCAGAACGTGTTCCTGAGTCGAACGAATCGCATCTCTCGGGAACATGCGGCGGTTCTTTCGACGGTGGCATTGATGTCTCCGTCGTGCCTCCGGAACCGTCTTCGGCTGGTAGCGGAGGAGGTGGAGGAGAAGGCGGGGCTGTAAATTCCGCGGCGGAGGTCAGTCATTCGGTTGACGCTGGCGCTGTCTTGGAGGTCGTGCCTCTGGAGCTCTCGACGGAGATTGGCGAGGGAGTTCGAAAAGGTGAAGGCGCGAGTCTAAGTTCCGTCCCGGAGGTTAGTGATTCGGTTTACAGTGGTCCTGCCTTGGAGATCGTGCCTATGGAACCATCTTCGGCTATTGACGTGGGACGAAGAGAAGGTACGATTTTTATTCCTAAAGAGAGGGATTCCGCGATTGGGGTTGGTGATCATGTTTATGGTGGCTCTACTGTGGATGTCGTGCCATTCGAACCGTGTCCGGGGATTGGTGAGGGAGGAGAAGGAGGAGTTACTGCCACAATTGTTCAAGAGGGTAATTCGGTTGCTGAGATCAACGACTCATGGCTTGTTGGAGGGGAAATGGAGGTAGAAGCGGCTAATTTACCAAACTTTGATTGGGAAAAGGATTATGTTTGCAGAGACAGACAGGAGAAAAAGAATGAATTCTCTGAAAAAGATGAGCAGCCGGCATTTCCAGTCCTTAGACAAGAAGGTGTAGAGAACAGGGAAGAGGGCCAACAGGAGGTGGACGGCAGAATCGTGGCCGATGATGAGGGTAATGGAGTGGCGAAGGGCCATATAGGGGCGATAACAGGGTCAGATGAGACAAATGCGGTAGCTGCAATGGAGGAGGAAGATCCAGGGCAGGTTGCCTCCTTGGCAGATAATGTTGACGAGGGAGAGATTCCTGATGATAAAGTGCTAGCTAGCATTGCTGGGTCTACGGAAATTCTTCAGCGGGATAAAGGTTTAGGAGATAGTGCCTGCGAATTAGGAAGCCAATTGGAATTGAAAGAGCCATCACAAGAGTCACATGATGAAGAAGTTAAGGATGCCACAGATGGAGATGAAAGAGGAGAGATAGTTGTAAAAAAAAATGCTGTGGATGGTCAGTGTATTCAGGGAGCTGAGACTGAGATTGGGGAAAAGGAAGGGGAAGAAAAGAAGACTGATGCCGTGGAGAGAGAAGACGAGCCTATGATGGAGATTGAAACTAAGCCTCAGGAGGTGGACGCAGCTGAGGCTGCAGAGACTGAGACTGGGGCTAGAATAGAGGAAGAACAGCAGGGTGTTGTCAGGGAGAGAGAAGATGTGAATATGTCCAATACCCAACCTAGACCTCAAGAGATGGACATTGCACCTGGTGAGGTTGCAGAAAAAAATGTTCTGGTGGGTCAATTGTCAACTGATATTACCCAGTTTGCTGGGGGAGAAGGAAACAATCAGGAGACTGTTGTGGTTGATGCGGAGAAGATGGTTGTGAAGGATCTTGAAGCTGGTGAATCGGTCAGACAGGTTTCGGAATCCACTGAAGAAGTAGAAACTAATGCTGAAAATGTGGCAGGTATGGAGAAAGAAGGGAATGTGATCGGTGGTGTCGAAGTAGCAGCACAGATGGTAAATGCAGAAGTTGTAGAAGCATCTGAAAAAGTGACTGAAGTAGGGGTAACTAAGATTTCTCAAGTTGAGGAAAAAACTGATGTAAGGACTGAACATGAAATTGAATTTCAGAAGGAAGCTGATGAGCCTAAAGATATGGAAACACAGGGAGACTCTTCTGTAGCTGATATAGTTGAGGACAGGGAGAACCGTGAGGATACTGAAATGACAGAGACACAGGAGGAGACCATGATGGCCGAGACAGGAGAGGAAGGAGAGGATGTTGAGGAAGAAAATAAGAGCATTGGAGCAAAGAGGAAGCGGGGGAGAAATTTAAAACAGCCGAAAGGGTCGGCAAAGAAGAAAGAGGAAGATGTTTGTTTCATTTGCTTCGATGGTGGTGATCTTGTCCTTTGCGATCGCAGGTGAACTTCATTTGTAGTTTCTGGGACTTCAAGCAAGTAGTTTACTTTCTTTATTTATGGTTTGTCTATCAGAGGATATCTTTTATTGTTTTAATGCTTGATTTTGTTTGCTTTCAGGGGTTGCCCAAAAGCTTACCACCCTTCCTGTGTTGGTCGAGATGAGGCTTTCTTCCATTCAAAGGATAAATGGAACTGTGGTAAGTTTCTTTGGTTTTCTTTATTATCTTAAATTAAGTGCTCATTAGTTGGCGAATAATCCTTACCTTCACTTCGTGGTTATCTGACAAGTACAGATTTTCATTCTATAGTTTATCTGTGGTGAATATTTTCTACTGTATAATTTTCTTTATCTAATGTCTTTTTAACAGTGTCTAAGGTCCATAAAACATATGTTTCCTTGGTTCTCTGTATCTAGATGATGAGACTCCCGATAACTCAGTCTACTACTTTGTTTGAATCCTTGGAGTACTTTAGGAAGTTGGAAAACCATTTATACATCTCGATCTTTTTAGTTTTTACCCAATTAGATAGTCGATTGGACCTTAGTAGGTGCTCTTTAGTCGAAAGGTTGGATCAGCTGGGTAGTCTCATTTTGAAGTTGAAGATGTCACCAATTGTCAATCTTTTTCGGCTAAAGCGTTTCTATATACTTGCTTTCATTTTGGTTACTCGTTCCTTGTTTGAAGATATGTTTTCCTTGTGAAAATAGACTCTTGGTATGGTTTTGTTCCTCTATACAAGGCGATGGTTTTTCGGATAATAAAGCATTGGAGGAGTAGATTACCACAGCTTCAAGAGAATTACATATTACCTAACTTCGGTACTTCAAGGGACCGGGAGACCTCCACGTATGATCAAACTTCTCTGATCCATTGTTATTCGAAAAACCATCACTTATATAGATTTACAATACCATACCAAGAAACTTTAGTCTATTCCTTACTAGGAAACCTACCAAAACTAAAAAATCAAAAGGAAACTAAATATGGTCGGATATCTTAGAAAATTTTCAAAGATATTTCTATTTCGAGAGTCTATCAGAGATTCAGATCTTGCTCAACTGTCAAGCCTGGGGTTCGACTCCTCAAGGGAACTTTGGCAATGGCAACCATTGACTGTTAGTGAATGGGAAAATTTCAAGGCTGTGCTCACCCTCTTAAGTTCAGTCATGAATCTTTGAGATCCACAGTCAGCAGTGAATTCTTACATTTTAGTTGCATTCTATGTGGTTCAATGTACATACCTAGTAGATGCAATGGAATCTCTGGTTTCACTTATTCTTATTTTGAAAATTCATAATTTTAAATTTCCTTTTGAATTTGTAAATACTGTGACATAGCTGCCTGTCCATTCTTTCTTGTTGTTTTCTCCCTGGTTATAGGTTGACATGCTGCTTTGAGTTGTCATATTTTTAACAGTCTCTGTGCTTATTCTGAATGTTTTGTGGGTGCTTCTCCCAATTCTTATTATTATCCTTGAAGGTCTATTCTCTAGTCTTTCGTGTAGAACCTAACTTTGTGTTGTATTTTCATGAATAGGATGGCACCTGTGTAGTAAATGTGAGAAAACTGCGACCTACCTGTGTCACACATGCACGTTTTCTTTATGCAAGGGGTGTGTCAAGGATTCTGTCTTCTTTTGTGTAAGAGGCAATAAGGGTTTATGTGAAACATGTATGGACACAGTCAGGTTGATAGAAAGCAAGGAGCAGGAGAAGAAGGAGCCGGTATTCCCAATATTCTTTTCTCTGCTGATTGTTTCTTTTTTTCCTAGACTGATGATTCTTTAATACAAGAACTCCTGTAAATACTTGCGTTATGTATATTTTGAAAGACCTAATTTCATGTGTTTTTCCTTTTTGTCACGTCAAGCATTTTTATGTTCTTCTCATTTGTATACCATAATTATGAAAAACTGATGATTATCGTTTATTGTTTCTGGATGATTTGCAGTCTTCGTTTTCTGATAACTTTTGCACTTTGTTTTGTCTCTTTGTAGGCACAGCTTGATTTTGATGACAAAAGCAGCTGGGAGTATCTCTTCAAAGATTACTGGATTGATCTGAAAGCCCAACTATCTATAACTCAAGAGGAGCTTGATCAGGCTAAAAGCCCTTGGAAAAGGCATGGTACACAAGCTACTAAACCAGAGACGACCAGCAAGAATGATTATGCAAGTGATGGAGTATCAGATTCCGATAGCCCTCCAAAAAGGAGGAAGACAAGGAGACAATCGAAGTCTGGTGGACAGATCTTATCAGGTAATGATAAAAGTTCATCTGGTGAAAATGTTGAGTGGGCTTCCAAGGAACTCTTGGATGTTGTTGTGCACATGAGACATGGGGACAGATCCTTCTTACCTCAGTCAGAAGTACATACTCTCCTACTAGACTATATAAAGAGATACAATCTTCGTGACCCTCGCCGGAAAAGCCAAGTCATTTGTGACTCCAGGCTTCAGAATCTGTTCGGAAAATCACACGTGGGGCACTTTGAGATGTTAAATCTCCTCGATTCTCATTTTCTTATCAAGAAGGAATCTCATGCACAGGCCATTCGAAGTACCGTTGTTGATACAGAAGCTGATCATGTTGATGCTGATGAAAGCTTGGATCACCCGATGAAAACTGGGAAGGATAAGAAACGCAAAACTCACAGAAAGGTTGGCAGTAGGGGGCGCCAGTCTAATCTTGATGATTTTGCAGCAATTGATATGCATAACATTAATTTGATATACTTGAGGCGGAGCTTGGTGGAGGATGTACTTGAAGATCTTTCATCGTTCCAAGAAAAAGTGGTCGGTGCATTTGTTAGGTTAAGAATATCTGGCAATCAAAAGCAAGATTTGTACCGATTGGTTCAAGTTGCCGGTAATGTTTTGTTTTCCATGTTATGGATTTTTAGATTTAACGCAGTTAAAGAGGAATTCGGTGATATGTATTTTTTTGGATGACAATACAGGCACAAGCAAAGCTGTTGAACCATATAAGGTTGGCAAAAAAACAACCGACTTTGTACTCGAGATATTGAATCTGGACAAAACAGAAGTGATATCTGTCGACATTATATCAAATCAAGATTTCACTGAGGTTAACTCTCCTGTCTCTGTCTTAGCGTTTTTTTCTTTTCATATGACTTGGGGAATACATCTTTATGAGTTTTGTTTCGTGATGTAATACTTACTGTTGCACTTGCATATGTTTATCTTACAACTTGCTTCCTGTTTTGACATGGTAGGATGAATGCAAGCGTCTAAGGCAGAGCATAAAGTGTGGATTTATTAGCAGGCTGACAGTGGTACGCTTTGTATTACTTGAGGTTTATTGATCTGTTTGTCTCAGACATTAGTGCTTTTGTGTCTTCTTCATATCCTAATATCAGTTGTTTTAATTTATAGGGTGGTATTCAAGAAAAAGCCATTGCTTTGCAGGAAGTGAGAGTTAAAAATGTAAGTTGGTTGTTTATTGTTTTCTTGCCCTTGTATCTTTCGTGTCCTTACTTTTTCCTTCAATAGCATATATTTATAAAGGAGAGGTGTTGATTTTGGAGTTGAAAATTAGTTTCTCGTTCTTTATGAATGCAGTTGCTGGAAGGAGAGATTGTGCGATTGAGTCATTTGCGTGATCGTGCCAGTGATATGGGCCGCAGAAAAGAATATCCTTCACCACTGAATCTTTACCGAGTTCAGTTGTTACAGTGATTGACAGTTCTTTATGTGAGTAGCATCTACCGTTTTGTAGCACAAAGCAAATAATTTCATCTGATTTGATCCTTCGAGTTTGCATGAGTATGCCTTAACTATGGTTACGCTTCGAGAGTGTGTTGAGAAACTGCAAGTGCTAAAGTCTCCAGAGGAACGCCAACGGAGGTTAGAAGAAATTCCAGAGATACATGTTGATCCTAGTATGGATCCAGATTGTGAATCTGAGGATGAAGATGAAAAAGAAGAGAAGCAAAGAGGTCTGTAAATGAAATTCAAGTTCGTTGTATTTATTATTATTATTCCTGGCATATCTTTAACACTTTCATTATTTGGCACTTTCGATTCCGTGTAGAGAAATATCTCAGGCCTCGTAGCAGTAGCTTCAACAGGAGAGGACGGGAACCGATATCTCCAAGAGCAGGAGGATATGGTTCGAGTTATTCATGGGGTGGCACAAGAAACTATTCAAGCGAGAACCGTGAACTAAGCAGAAATCTGTCTGGTAGAGGTTTTTCTAGTAGAGGGGATAATCCTGCTGGTGGATCCGGTGATAGAGCCAATGAAAGTCTGTGGACTTCAGGCAGAGACAGAGAATTGCAACAATCTGCAAGCCCTGAGAAGCCAGGATCTGTTTCTCAGAGTTCCAATCGTGTTGGAACAGCGGAGTTGTCTCCTAGGGTAGGGTCAGAAATCTCACCTGCACCTCTACCTACGTCTGTCACTGAACCCATTTCCCAGATTAATGAATCAGAAAAGATGTGGCATTACAAGGACCCGTCCGGTAAAGTACAAGGACCTTTTTCGATGGTGCAGCTCCGTAAATGGAACAACACTGGATACTTTCCTGCTCAAAGGAGACACAGGATGACTCTGTTCCTCTGGCCGATGCATTGGCTGGGCGATTTCCGAAGCAAACCCAGACAGGCATTTATTCTGTTCGGGCTTCTTGTCCATCGAGCCAGTCTGCTGGAGGAGGATTGAAATCTGAACCTGAATTCGGTTCCAGTGGCAGGACTGCTCCTTCAACCCTTGAAATTCCGAAGTCTCAGGATAATACTTGGGGTCCGAGTTCAGGTTCAGGCACAAACCTTCCGTCCCCTACTCCAAATCAAACCACGACTCCAACTGCAACAAGGAGACGGAGTTATGAGAGCAGATGGTCCTCGACTCCTGCTCAGACGCCTGTCCAGTCGACTGTTCAGTTGGCAAACTCTTTTATTCCACCATCTGCCACGAATCCAGTTTCCGCCAGGCCTGATGTCCCAATGACTCATGTTGGTTCTGCTATGGCTCTTCCATCTTTGACACCGGCTGGTCTAAATCAGGGCCGGGGAACCATGCAGGCCAAGAAACTGGATTCCAGTGGTTCTACTCAGATTCCATCTCATGGTCACATTGCCCCATCTTCTTCCCAGAGTTCCTCCCCATCTTTCAATGCAGGAACTCCAGGTCTCTTCCCTGCACAGTTTCAATCCGGTATTCCTCCATCTGATTCATGGAGGGTTCCAGTTCCGATTCAACCAAACACTCAGGCACCTGTGCCACTGAACCTACCTTGGGGCATGAATGCAATGAATAGCAACAACCAAAATGCTCCGCAAACGCAGGCTCCAGTGATTCAAAGCAGTGGTTGGGGTCAGATGCCTGTAAATCCAAACATAGGATGGATGGGGACCCCGCAAGCCGGAGCAAACCCGAATTGGGGATCTTCCGGTTGGGGAGGGCAACCGCAGGTGTATCCTAATCCCGGGTGGGGTATGACAGGTCAAGCTGAAGCTCCATTGAATACTGGCTCGGGTCATGGACCGAAAGCAGGCAACGGAAATCTGAACTGGGGTTTGAGCAGTCATGGCCCATCACCAGGTGGTGCTGCAGCAATGTGGGGAAACCAACAGAACCAGAACGGAGGAGGGGATAGTACCACTGGTTATGGTTGGAACAGAAACTTGAATGGACAGAGAATATGCAAGTTCTTCAGAGAAAATGGTTACTGTAGGAAAGGAGCAACCTGCGATTACATCCATAACTAAGTCAGTCCTTTAGGGTTTTTTTTGGGAGAGGTTTTAGGACATTTTGATGTATATAGCAATCAGTCTTTTTGGTTTTGTTTCTTCTGAATCAGTAGGTAGTTGTCAGAAAATCGTGTAATGCATGTCTTACTAAAACGTTTCGAATAATATAGGCCAGAAAACCAGCGTACGATGATTATCTCTTCCTTAATCTACACATCAGTTGGGTATATTACTTACCTCGAAAGGGAATACCTTTTTATTTTTTTGTTTACGGTTCCTGGTGATTATGTCAGGTGACAAGTGGCGGCTGGCAAAGGCGAAACTGGGTGGTGGTTCCCGTACGAATATGTCAGAACGAGCCGAAGGGCAGACACTTTGTGTTTATGGGTGTTGGTCTGCTCCATGTGGGAAAGAGGGGTTTGATGTTAGATGTAGAGAAAAGATCAAGAGACCGAAAAAAAAGGCAAGAATACTGGTTTCCGATTCTAAGATTCGGTTTTAGTCGTCATCTGATCCGTACTCGCCTCACAGATAGACGGATATCAATCTATGATTTCGAATACTCGACCCGTCGATCTGATAAGCTTTTCCTGGTGTGTGACGGGCCAAGGAGAGGAAGGGCAGAAATGGAATAAGCTGACGAGGAGAGAGAAGATCGAGAAAAGAGAAGCAGAATTAAGGGGAGGATCAGGTGTGCTGTGAGGGTGAGATTCCATAGGGTGGTTATCACATACACATACATAGTAGCTGCTTGTATAGGTTGTTTAATCCAACTCAATGGTGTGTTAGTGGGTTGGTTATATATATAGCTAGGGTTTCTTCCGCAATGGGTATCGAAGAACTTGAGTCTTGTGTGAGGGTGAGAGGGTGTGCCTCTTGGTAAACAGTTGTAATTCTCTGTTTTGAGGAATACAATTGGTATTTTATACATATATTCTATCTATATTCTATCACGATCATACGAGAAATTACGGGTCCTATCCCTACCCTCAGCTTCACCTTTGTTAAAGATTGTATAACTTCAAAATACATAACAAAAGGTGAATAAAATAAGTACCTTAATCTGAACTTTTACCCTCACAAATCTTAGGACAAGAAAAGAAAAACATGATGAACACAAAGAAATAACTTGGTTTACCCTATCTTTGGATTCTGACAGGCCAATTATAAGCATACTTTGTTGCTCCAAAGCTCCGATCACCCATCTATGATCTTCTAATAGATTCGATTTCCATAGAAACTGAAAAAGTTCTGCCACGACAGGAGGAAAAAGAGCGACGATACATTATATAAAAAAATATGAACACGTATCTTCCGCTAGATGCAGAAAGCGTATATTCGTGATGATTTAAGTGACCTACTCGAGGGCTCTTACATCGGCTACTCCCTCTGTTGGTTTGGATTGAGTTATGCCAAAGCAATGGCCAGTATAACGACGAGCATTATGATCTGAATTTCGGGTCAGAGAGAAAGATCGGTTAAGGAAAAAAACAAAAACAAAAACTGAGATACCTTCAATGGTGATAGATAGTGATAGATGCTATGCTAACTTACAGTGAGAGAGTTGAAGCGTGATTCATCGGTGGTGAAAGATTTTCTGGAGAGAAAAAGCAAAGATTCATCACAACCATAACCGAACCACAACCAAAACTAAAATGTTGCAATGATTGCTTCCTATTTCTGAATCCTAGAAAGATTTGATATATAACTATGATGCTTTTTATTCATATTTCATAATCAAAGGTTACAGTTTTACAAGGAGAACCGATGTAAAGATAGCTACGAAAGCAAGATGTATTCAAAACATATAAATCCATAACGGACAGAATCTAGACCCGCGAAAATATTTCCTAATTTTCCAAACCGAATACAAAAAATAACCCAACAAGAACAAAGTCCCAAAATACCCAAACATAAAACAAAACCCAAAACTCCGGCAAATTCAAGATGATCCTTAAAGAATTAAAACCAAGTAAAGTTCTGGCGAACGAACATAGATAATTATTGCAGAAATGAACAAGAGATTGTACCATATATATCAATCATTGTATTCGTTCGATCTATGATTTTAGCCGTCAGACCTGAACACATGAACAAATATGGGATATTTTGAAAATTAACTCTCAAACTAGTTTTAGAATGAAAAAATTTGAGATTTTTCCTCGTCATGAAAGCATACTCATCACAAAAATATTACTTTTTATTATGATTTGACAATTTTCATACTGAAATCTCGAATGAAATAATTGAAAAGTTGTTAAATATTGTCTTTTGAGAGAACAATAGCTCAAGAGAAGAATCTTACCACGCCTCATCTTCACTATGCCTCTAAAAAGATAAATAAAGAAAGATGATGGTAGAGAAAAAGGGCTTGTCGGTCGAGCATTTTGGATGATTTGAACGTAAATCAATTGAATCAAATAAGAAGATTTGTTTTGTAAATCCAATCAAACAGATATTTTTTATAAAAACCAAATTAATCGAATTTAAATTAAATATAAAAGTTTTTAAAAATAATATCAATGTTTTTTTAATTTATTTATTAAAAATCAAGTACAAAGGAATAAAACAATAAATTTTAATAATTGAATCTAAATATAATAGAAATGATATATTGCTCATTTCTGAATTATCTCTCTATATTCTCTAATAATAGATTCACCGATCCTTTCAGTATTCATCGAATATTGTTCAAAGTATATAGACTTTGAATGAGAATGACTTTTATTTTGGGTTTTTGGTTTTTGACTTTTTGATTCTATAATATTTGAAAACTAAAAAAAAATTGATTTTTCATTGATTTTTCCACTAAAATAGTTTTCCAAATTTTTAGAAAAATTAATTTTATAAAAACTTAAAGATAGTTTTTTGGGTTTTTGAATTCTAAAAACTCCAAGAATTACCACAAGCCCTTTTTTTTCTTATTCCTCTTCATCTTCCTTTCTATGTAGGTTTGGATTGGGCTTGGGTTTTCAAATTTCAGATCAGGCCTATCTGAAGAAGGCACAAATTAATACATAAAGCCCAATAAGCTGCTAAATGGGCCGCCTTCAATTAAAGAAGTAAGAACAGTTTCTAGCTAAAATAAAAGGGATTCATTTTACCAAAATTCTGAAGAAAAAAAGAACACGTTAGCTCACTAATTTTTTTTTAAAAAAACAATAATTAGTTTACTATTATTTCATTCATCATTCACACTTCAAGTTGTAAAAGAACACTTAGATTTCAGGGGGGGGGAAAACTTCATCGAATTGGAGAATAAAAAAAGCCTAAAGGAAGATTCAAATTCCGTTGCCGGGAATCGAACCCGGGTCTCTCGGGTGAGAGCCGAGTATCCTAACCGACTAGACTACAACGGAGAGAGTACACTTGATATTAAATTTTATAAAACAAATAGGAGCCTCTCCGTTCCCTTTCCCACCCTTCTGGTTCAACCATTTGGTAATTTGCACCCAACAAAAGAAAAAAGAGTTTCCCCCAAAACCCTAAGGCTTCAGATCCCCAGTGTGTTCTTTGTTTGTTTTCAATTTCTGTCTTCGCCATTTCTCCCTCTAATTTATGGGCGGTTTTCACGGAACCGACTCGGCGAGAGCTTCGATGGAGTCGGTGCAGAGGTCAGAACGTGTTCCTGAGTCGAACGAACCCCATCTCTCGGGAACATGCGGCGATTCCGTCGACGGTGGCATTGATGTCTCCGTCGTGCCTCGGGAACCGTCTTCGGCTGTTAGCGGAGGAGGTGGAGGAGAAGGCGGGGCTGTAAATTCCGGGGCGGAGGTCAGTCATTCGGTTGACGATGGCGCTGTCTTGGAGGTCGTGCCTCTGGAGCCCTCGACGGAGATTGGTGAGGGTGTTCGAGAAGGTGAAGGCGCGAGTATAAGTTCCATCCCGGAGGTTAGTGATTCGGTTTACGGTGGTCCTACCGTGGAGATTGTGCCTATGGAACCATCGTCGGCCATCAACATGACGTGGAACCATCATGTTGATGGTGGCTCTACTGTGAATGTCGTGCAATTCGAACCGTGTCCAAGGATTGGTGAGGGAGGGGAAGGAGGAGTTGCTGCCACAATTGTTCGAGAGGGTAATTCGGTTGCTGAGATGAACGACTCACGGTTTGTTGGAGGGGAAATGGACGTAGAAGCGGCTAATTTGCCAAACTTTGATCGGGAAAAGGATTCTGTTTGCAGAGACAGACAGGAGAAAAAGAATGAATTTTCTGAAAAAGATGAGCCGCTGCCGTTTCCAGTCCTTAGACAAGAAGGTGGAAAGAAGAGAGAAGAGGGCCAAGAGGAGATGGACGGCAGAATTGCGGCTGATGATGAGGGTAATGGAGTGGCAGAGGGCCAGATAGGTCCGATAACAGGGTCAGATGAGACAAATGCTGTAGCTGCGATGGAGGAGGAAGATCCAGGGCAGGTTGCCTCCTTGGCAGATATTGTTGACGAGGGAGAGATTCCTGATGATAAAGAGCTAGCTAGCATTACTGGGTCTACGGAAATTCTTCAGCAGGATAAAGGTTTAGGAGATAGTGCCTGCGAGATAAGAAGCCAATTGGAAGAGAAAGAGCCATCACAAGAGTCACATGATGAAGAAGTTAAGGATTTAACAGATGGAGATGAAAGAGAAGAGACAGATGTCAAAGAAAATGCTATGGATGGTCAGAGTATTCATAGAGCTGAGACTGAGATTAGGGAAAGGGAAGGGGAAGAAAAGAAGACTGATGCTGTGGAGAGAGAAGAGGAGCCTATGTTGGAGATTGAAACTAAGCCTCAGGAGGATGACACAGCAGCAGCTGAGGCTGCAGAGACTGAGACTGGGGAAAGAGGAGAGGAAGAACAACAGGGAGTTGGCAGGAAGAGAGAAGATGTGAATATGTTGGGTACCCAACCTAGACCTCAAGAGATGGACATTGTACCTGGGGAGGCTGCAGAAAAAAATGTTCTGGTGGGTCAATTGTCAACTGATGTTGCCCAGTTTGCTGGAGGAGAAGGAAACAATCAGGAGACTGTTGTGGTTGTTGCGGAGAATATGGTTGTGAAGGATCTTGAAGCTGGTGAATCGGTCAGACATGTTTCTGAATCCACTGAAGAAGTAGAAACTAATGCTGAAAATGTGGCAGATATGGAGAAAGAAGGGAATGTGATCGGTGGTGTTGAAGTAGCAGCACAGATGGTAAATACAGAAGAAGTAGTAGAAGCATCTGAAAAAGTGACTGAAGTAGGGGAAACTAAGAGTACTCAAGTTGAGGAAAAAACTGATGTAAGGACTGAACATGAAGTTGAATTTCAGAAGGAAGCTGATGAGCCCAAAGATATGGAAACACAGGGAGACTCTTCTGTAGCTGATATAGTTGAGGACAGGGAGAACCGTGAGGATACTGAAATGACAGAGACACCGGAGGAGACCATGATGGCCGAGACAGGAGAGGAAGGAGAGGATGTTGAGGAAGAAAATAAGAGCACTGGAGCAAAGAGGAGGCAGGGGAGAAATGCAAAACAGCTGAAAGGGTCGGCAAAGAAGAAAGAGGAAGATGTTTGCTTCATTTGCTTCGATGGTGGTGATCTTGTCCTTTGCGATCGCAGGTGAACTTCATTTGTAGTTTCTGGGACTTCAAGCAAGTGGTTTACTTTCTTTATATATGGTTTGTCTATCGGAGGATGTCTTTGATTATTTTAATGCTTGATTTTGTTTGCTTTCAGGGGTTGCCCAAAAGCTTACCACCCTTCTTGTGTTGGTCGAGATGAGGCTTTCTTCCATTCAAAGGGTAAATGGAACTGTGGTAAGTTTCTTTGGTTTTCTTTATTATCTTAAATTAAGTGTTCATTAGTTGGCGAATAATCCTTATCTTTACATCGTGGTTATCTGCCAAGTACATATTTTCATTCTATAGTTTATCTGTGGTGAATATTTTCTACTGTATAATTTTCTTTATCTAATGTCTTTTTAACAGTGTCTAAGGTCCATAAAACATATGTTTCCTTGGTTCTCTGTATCTAGATGATGAGACTCCCGATAACTCAGTCTACTACTTTGTTTGAATCCTTGGAGTATTTTAGGAAGTTGGAAAACCATTTATTAGTTTTGACCCATTCAGAGAGTCGATTGGACCTTAGTAGGTGCTCTTCAGTCGAAAGATAGGATCAGCTTGGTAGTCTCATTTGAAGTTGAAGATGTCACCAATTGTCAATCTTTTCGGCTAAAGCGTTTCTATATACTTTCTTTCAATTTGGTTACTTGTTCCTTGTTTGAAGATATGTTTTCCTTGTGAAAATAGACCAGAGTTTCTTGTTATGGTCTTGTTCCTCTATATAAGGCGATGATTTTTCAAATAGTAAAGCATCAGAGGAATAGAATACCCCAGCTTCGAGAGAATTACATATCACTTAACTTCGGTGCTTCAAGGGATCGGAAGCCCTCCACGTATGATCAAACTTCTCTGATCCATTTTTATTCGAAAAACCATCACTTATATAGAGGTACAATACCATACCTCGAAGCTTTAGACTATCTCTTACTAGGAAACCTCCCAAAGCTAATAAATCAAAAGGAAACTAAATATGGTCGGATATCTTATAAAATTTTCAAAGATAATTCTATTTCGAGAGTCTATCAGATCTTGCTCAGAATGTAAAAATTCAAGGGTATGCTCACCCTCTTAAGTTCAGTCATGAATCTTTGAGATCCACCGTCAGCAGTGAATTTTTACATTTTAGTTGCATTCTATATGGTTCAATGTATATACCAAGTTGGTGCAATGGAATCTCTGGTTTCACTTATTCTTATTTTGAAAATTCATAATTTTAATTTTCTTTTCGAATTTGTAAATACCGTGGCATTCCTTTTATTGTTTTTTTCCCTGGTTATAGGTTGACGTGCTGCTTTGAGTTATGTCATATTTTTAACGTCTCTGTGCTTATTCTGATTCTCTGAATGTTTTGTGTGTGCTTCTCCCAATTCTTGTTATTATCCTTCTAAGGTCTATTCTCTAGTCTTTTGTGTAGAACCTAACTTTGTGTTGTATTTTCATGAATAGGATGGCACCTGTGTAGTAAATGTGAGAAAACTGCGACCTACCTGTGTTACACATGCACGTTTTCTTTATGCAAGGGGTGTGCCAAGGATTCTGTCATCTTTTGTGTAAGAGGCAATAAGGGTTTGTGTGAAACATGTATGGACACAGTCAAGTTGATAGAAAGCAAGGAGCAGGGGAAGAAGGAGCTGGTATTCCCGATATTCTTTTCTCTGCTGATTGTTTCTTTCTTTTCCTAGACTGAGCTGGGAAATTGGCATGCTATCAGGAAAGGCTGATGATAATATAAGAACTCCTGTAAAGACTTGCGTTATGTATATGTTGAAAGACCTAACTTCATGTGTTTTTTCTTTTTGTCAGGTCAAGCTTTTTATGTTCTTGTCATTTCAGTTGTGTGCCATAATTCATGAAAAACTGATGATCATCATTTACTGTTTCTGGATGACTTGCAGTCTTCCTTTTCTGATAACTTTAGCTCTTTGTTTTGTCTCTTTGTTTTGTCTCTTTGTAGGCACAGCTGGATTTTGATGACAAAAGCAGCTGGGAGTATCTTTTTAAGGATTACTGGATTGATCTGAAAGCCCAACTATCTATAACTCAAGAGGAGCTTGATCAGGCTAAAAGCCCTTGGAAAGGGCATGGTACCCAAGCTACTAAACCAGAGACTACCAGCAAGAATAATTATGCAAGTGATGGAGGATCAGATTCCGATAGCCCTCCAAAAAGGAGGAAGACAAGGAGACAATCGAAGTCTGGTGGACAAATCTTATCAGGTAATGATAAAAGTTCATCTGGTGAAAATGTTGACTGGGCTTCCAAGGAACTCTTGGATGTTGTTGTGCACATGAGGCATGGGGACAGATCCTTCTTACCTCAGTCAGAAGTACATAGTCTCCTACTAGACTATATAAAGAGATACAATCTTCGTGACCCTCGTCGGAAAAGCCAAGTCATTTGTGACTCCAGGCTTCAGAATCTGTTCGGAAAATCACACGTGGGGCACTTTGAGATGTTAAATCTCCTCGATTCTCATTTTCTTATCAAGAAGGAATCTCATGCAGAGGACGTTCAAAGTACCGTAGTTGATACAGAAGCTGATCATGTTGATGCTGATGAAAGCTTGGATTACCCGACAAAAACTGGAAAGGATAAGAAACGCAAAACTCGCAGAAAGGGTGGCAGTAGGGGACAACAGTCTAATCTGGATGATTTTGCAGCAATTGATATGCATAACATTAATTTGATATACTTGAGGAGGAGCTTGGTGGAGGATCTGCTTGAAGATCCTTCATCATTCCAAGAAAAAGTGGTCGGTGCATTTGTTAGGTTAAGAATATCTGGCAATCAAAAGCAAGATTTGTACCGATTGGTTCAAGTTGCCGGTAATGTTTTGTTTTCCATGTTATGGATTTTTAGATTTAA